TTTCTTCTGTTTCTTCTGTTTCTTCTGTTTCTTCTGTTTCTTCTGTTTCTTCTGTTTCTTCTATTGGTTAATGTCTTTTGAATACTCATATACTGCGTCGTGGGACTATTACCCGTGTTGAAATCACTCCTGTATTGGTTTTGTATAAGTCCAGGTCGTGTATTGCGTTTAAACGGTTTCACTCTACTTTCTCTTTCTTTCTTTCTTTCTCTGCTTTGCTTATTAGTTGGGAACTTTCTACAGTATGCAGTTTATTATATCTGTGTGATGCTTTGGATTGGATGATACCCTGGGTATTTAATATTTTCTGTGTTCAAGTGAGGGATAAGATGGCATGGCATGGTGGTCTAAGTCTACTATTTTTGTTTGGGGGGTTGTTTTGCAGGGAGCCATGGTTTGGTGTACGGAGTACTGGGTATATATGTATGGGTGGGTTGGATTCTTGGATGGTCTGGTCTTTCTGATGGATATGTATTACTTACTTCTCTCATCGAGCGATGAACGAGCTGAATGTGATCCTTTTATCTGGCATCGTTGTTGACTGTTCATGTATGGCTATGTGAAAGCGAACGGGCTAGAACTAGTCACTAGTGGATGTGTATATGGCTAATCGTTTGATGATTACAGAGTGGAATAATATTGAATAATCAACCAACTCCGAGCAATTTCCCAGGCAAATCACCCAAATCACACCATACAATAATACCATGCACGCAATCACAATAAAGCACTAACCACAACAATAACACAAGAATACAGACCAACAGCAAGGTATCATCATAAGCGCAAGCCAATCAGTCAACGCTGAAACAGCTCGCTCCCGCTATGCAGACAACCAGAAACAAATCATGTCATCAGAACCACACTTTTGCGCGTTCCGTTGCAGTGGCCAGAATCAACGCCGCTAGATACGCCAGAACAAGAATCAAAGGGTATAATACCATCAAAGGGGAAGCCGGTCCCATCACTTCTTGAACATGTAGTGGCCGTACAGACCGCCCACGTCGCCCACAGCCACCGGGATCTTGCGCATGCCCCACCAGCGCGCGCCCATCTTCCAGGACCGCGCGCCATCATCGGGGGTCACCTCGGGCATCGAGGATTTCTCCCGCACGTACCAGCCCCGACGGCCCAGCTCCCGCACCGCCCAGCCGGGCGAGGTGCGCGCGTTCCGAGACCGTTCCCGCAGCGGAGCGATCAGCTTGTCGCTGAACTCGATGACCTGCAGCGGGTAGCTCTGGGGAGTCAGAATCACGCACGAGTTCGGGTTGAAGATGGTGCCGATCGTCAGTTGGTTGGCCTTGTTCAGGTCCAGATAGCAGAGCGTGGACGGGACCCACGGCTCGGAGATTGACTCCCCGTCCACCGGTCGGGGCGGGACAAAGAACGTGTTGAGATCCTGACCAGTGAGCTCGCAGGAACTCAAGCCCAGCTCTTCCAGGTGCTTCGTCAGAGGGAGCAAGGCTTTGGTGTGGGCCGAAGTGACCTTGGCCCCGCCAAGGTTCAGAGAGCGAAGCGTGGTGGGCAGGTTGGGAAGAAGCGCCTCCACATTCTCCTCCTCCAGGAGCCGCGACCGGGTGGGATCCGTCAACAAGTTCAGGAACACCAGCGAGTCCCGAACGGCGGGATGAGTGGACAGAAACTCGACCACCCGGGAGCCCCGCAGACGGCTGCACCGGGACAAACTCAGGTGAGTGATCTTGGCGGACTCGGGAATAGAAAACAGAGCGTCCTCGCTGATCTGCGTGTGGGTAACATCGAGGTGGGTAAGGTTGACCAGACGAGGCAGAAGAATCTCAAAAGCCGCCGCAGGCAGACTGCTGCACTCGTGAAGCGACACACGTCGCAAGTTCGGCAGGGTCAGCGGAAGACCAGGGGGGCCGGAAATCAGAGACTCCAGGAAGAGGCTGGAGAAGGACTGCGAAGAGCAACCGCAAAAGTCGACCGCAAACAGGTTCGGAAGCCCGGTGAACAACTTCTGAAGGACCTCCAAGCTGATATCGCCCTCGACATGCTCCTGGAGCAAGCATTCCTTCAGGTTGGGCAGCAGCTCCAAGCACTGCAGGAGGGTCTTGGAGGTGAGATTCTGAATTTCCGCGTTCATCTGCTTGGTGCGTCCCAGTCCAACCGAGGTAAAGTGCGAAAAGTCCAGACGGCGCACCAAGGTGCCCAAGGCAGGATAGCGAGCGATGTGGTTGAGCGCTTTGGAGAAGATGATGGAGTGGGGAAAGGTCATGTTCCGGTACAACACACTCAGGGTGGCCGCGTGCAATGTCTTGGAGGTCAGCAGGCACGAAATCAGGTCGACATTCCGAGGAGTATATCCGTTAGGGGGGACATCGAGTGCGAGCATGGAAATCAAATAATCTGCAAATTGTTAGCGAGGCCAAGATTCACCAGAACCCTACTTACCAAGAACCTCCGGGGGAAGTCTTTCCAGGGCAGATGTGCCAGCAGCCGGCTTCTGCTCCACTTCCACCTCTTGCGGTTCTTCCTGCACCTGCACCTGCACCTGCAGTTGCTTCTCCTCGACCGGCAACGGCTTGCTCGGTGGGGAGACCACCGGTGGCGTCGAATCCCAGGCCCAGCCGCGTGCCTGCATGTTGCCTAGACCGCGGAGATCGCTGTAGCTTCGACTCAGACTCTTGCCGCCCAGCCGGATCTGCTTCCAGCCTAGAAAGCCGCCACATGGGCAACAGAAGTCGGGCTGCATCTCGAGAGGGTTGCGTTTGGGGGGTTCCTGGGGAGACTGGTCCTGATCCAAATGGGTATCAACGAAGGATTGTGCAATGCCTATGACGTGTGAGTGACCGGCGATGACACCATTTATATCCCAACAAATACGTACCATCCACGTCCTCCTTGATGGAGCCGAAGGACTCCCGACGACGGCTGCTGGACCGCGAGTTCTGGGAGGAAGAGCAGGCGGACGAATGAGGGGAGGCAGTACGGGAACCGTCGGTAGGCGAAGTGTCACCAGACGGGTCGGTAGGGTATCTCGACTGGGGTTGCTTCTGGATGGACAGCGGGATGGGGGTGGCGGCCGACATGATGAAGGGACTGCTCTATATAGGAGGGCCGGTCCCGAGATGGTGATGTGGTGAGGTGGCAGGAGGATCAGGAGAGCACGCACACACAGACCGGGAGCAGAGTTGGAAGAAAGAGGGAGGAAAAAGGAAAAAGCTTTTTTTCTTTCCCCGGATTCCACCCAAGCACCCCTGGCTGTAATCTGCGCTAGAAAAGTGCCAAAGAGGGGCGACGGAGCAGTTGTTTGCTGTTAGTCACAGAATCCGCGGCGGATGGACCGAGGCCGCGCCCCGAGGCGGGCACGCTATTGGCAAGCAGGAGATCCGAGCTGGTGGACAGGGAATTGATTCGCTGTAGCTGGATGATCCGGTGGAGCGGGCAGAGAGCTATGCACTGTACTTAACAGGGCTGATCGTAGATCCAGACGGAGTGGTTTAGAGGAAGCGAAACAAGGTGTGAAAGGCACGAGGGGAACGAAGGGGAAAAAAATAGGTGAGGGCGCGGAATGGAAGGCGACTGCACGCCGACGTCAATTTTTATTAAGTAAGGCGAACCAGCAGGGTTTGCCAGCAGCCCTGACACGCCCCGAGTGGAGGCGGAAGCCCAGCGAAGGAAACAAGCCCATGGATCCCGGCACATGGACCACCCCCAGCGGCGAATCGTACCTCTTGCCTGCCAAAAGTCCTGGCTGGTTCCTCCGTTCTGAAGGAACAATCAACAATCCTTTGACCGTTGATCGATCGGCCTCCGCTGCGGATTGGTTGCTTTTTCTATTCCGAGCCACTAATTCCTACTATTTTAATCGCCTCGGGGGCGATCCCGGCCCAAGTTTATCAATCAGTCGGTCGGAAATCACCGTGTCGGGGTGTTACTGATAATGATGATGCTCTTCCCGTTTCAATCACCCCGGTGAAGGGCCATTAGCATCTGGCGCCCCTGCTGGTGGTGACTCTCTCCGCCTGGTTGCTGGCATCCTATGGAGGATTTCCATTAGTCGCAGAAAGCGATGATTCGATGGCGGGCGTCATGGCGCCATGGCCGGGTCTTGCTCGATCGGGATCACCGCCTGCATTCTATGACATAATGGAAAACCGCCGCCCTGGCCCCGTGACCCCCCCGTGACTACCCCGACGGAGCGGGATCTCCTGACGCCGAGTCCGAGGCGCCGACCATCGGGAGTTCCACTTGGATCCTCCGGAGGATTCCGCAGTACACAGTAGTACCATAATCCCTTAGGACATACTCCGTAGTAGTATCTGAGTCGCAAGTGAGGCTAGTGTTTGGCCAGGCCAGTCATCCATCTCGTATATCGATTAAGCGAGCAATCATATGCATTACCCCAGACTGCACGCACCCCTGACCACGGCATATTCCTTACCTAACAATTACTACTTGCCCGCCCGCCATTTGCTCCGGGCGGGGTCCCGTGATCCTGCGGAGAACGCTAGTGCTGTCACTCGCTCTCCTCCCCTCCTCCTCTGCCCTCGTCATCCATGGCCTTTGGCCCCCTCGATCCAAAGATCATGGAACTCAATCCCACCCCGTCTCCCCTCTTTCAGGGTGAAGAAGCAGGGGAACCAGGCCACTGGCCGAGAACCCACCGAATCCTTCCGGTCAACTGACTCAGTCCCGGCCGATACGCAGCCGAGTAACCGACGGGGAGGACTGACAGGCAGGCTCCTTCATGCATGCTGGATCCTTGCGGGGTAAGGTCGATAGACAGGGAACTAGTGGGTGGTAGGCACACTAGCTGGGAGCTACCTTAGCTAAGGGGGCGAATTTCCACAGCTCTCCATCTCGGGATTCTCCCTTATTGGCAGGACGATCCAACTCGACTTTTTTGCGGGGGTGATCTAACCCCAAGCAATGGTTTGGAAAAGCATATCGTATCTTTAGGACTGCCATTTGAGGCGAAACAGCCAAGCCTTCCGGGCGATCCTTGCAACCACTCTTTCAGACATTCTGGGCTTCACTCATGGGATCTCCAGTCATAAGTTGGAGTCATGCAACTGAGTCTTCCCCAGAGCCCCGCAGTTTGCATCTCCGCGGTCTCACCATGTTGTGCCATCTCGACGCAATAGCGAATGCCACACATGAAGCTACACCGCTAACTGCGAGGGGCATGACTATGCGTATGACGTATATAGAACATGGCAGATAGGCTAATGCCGTCCTTCCTTCTACCCAGTTCGTAGCATTCTCAACGGACAGTGAATCAAGCAGAGATGTGTACGCAGCAAAATGAGTATCTAGAACCTTGTGAATCACCCAATATCTGGAGCAGCATCCAATTCCAGCAATAGTTCGGTCCAACTCAAGGCTTGGCCGCAGGTTAGCCTACCTCGCATAAGCTTGACTCCCACCCCGTCGGGGATCCCAATGTTTGGCTTGGCCAGGATCGATAACCTGGTCAGCGCAGTCTTGGCTTCCCCTTGCAGTCACCACCAGCCTCGTCATTGGAATTCCCATGTCGTTGATGTCGGTCGGGTTGGTAACCGTCTGCACCGTACAGTATCCATCACGTAAATCTACATCCCTGTGAAACACGCGTCGACCAGGGATCCCAGCCCGGGAGGGTCATCGTTACCGTCGACCGTTACAGACCCCGGCCGCCAAGAACGATCCCCGGCCAATGTCTTGGCTGGCCGACCCCAGCAAGCGAGCATGTTCGCGCTTCCCCACCTTTTATTGGTCTGGCCCTCGTAGTTGCGTTTGCTTCCACTTTCGGTCGCTCCCTGGATACTTCCTGGAATTGAATCCGATGGGTAGCCGATGAGGAGGAAGCCAGGGGTCGTCCCTTCGGACTACCGTGCAATAGCCATGGTCACAAGGTTTGATGCTCACGCCAGTATGACACCACTTGACACCACTGCCATCACTGCCATCACCTCATGGTTTGGTCCGATGCAGTGATCCATGGTTGGTTGGATGGTCCGTGGAGATTGGCTGATGTGGCGGGCGTCCATAGGCGAGGAATGGCATAAGGCTGAGTGGGGATACATCATCCACGCTGTGGTTGTTGTGCTGCAGTAGGGGCATAAGTATGGAGTACACTTGTTCAAAGTCCGGTCGACTAGGCTAGGTGGGCAACATAACAACCAAGCAAGAGAAGGTGATTAAGCGAGCACACTGGCCAGGATATGGCGGGTATCTTGGGCGTAGGTCGATGGTCAGGCGATATGAACCCCTTTTCACCCCTGCCTGCCGCCGTCGCTTAATGTATTTTCTTTGTTGACAACGTCACGCATAGTGCCTTACTACAAGCACAACCACTAGTACCCCGTACACTACTCCGTAATTTGAAACCAGATGCCTATGATAATCCGCCAGTATTAAAAAATAGCATCGTGATAAAAGATTGGTTTCACTGACTCGTGCTGCAGACATGGGCCAGCCCGTCGAGTGACAACTCCGATGGGTGATTCAACCCACCAATGAACATGCATTTCTTACAGTACCGTCCAGATGGTTGTTTTTGTATCATATGTCCTCGCTGGCCTTCTAGATACACTGGATAAGCACCTACTATAGGGGCTGGTTACTGTATACTCCGCTGTCGGAGATAAGCTGTCGGAAAATTGCAGACGAGACGGACCAAAAGTGCAATTGCCGACAGCCTTAACCCACGAGCTGCTCACCAATTCCTTCTCCCTATCCAATCTTTAAAGCCGCCGGAGATACGACTCACTACTCTCGGAAGCGTTGTATCCCTATGGATAGTCCGAGTTCCGTGTTGGCTGAGCCCCCGCGTCGGCGCAGAAGACCAGCTGTGTAGGTCTCAACTTCCGTGTATGCACGTGGACTAACACAGACACAGCTCCTGCTCCCTTTGTAGGAGTCGGAAAATTCGATGTAATCGGCAATTGCCCTGTAGCAACTGCGTGCGTACGCGGAATGAAAATTGCGTGTATGCGAACCAGGCTTCTCCGATTCAACGGAAACGTCTCAGCCAGGTAACCGAGGTGTCAACTCTACAGCCCCAACAGGCTCTCCGTATCGATAGAGACCCTAGTTCCAACGGACCTCCATGCCAGAGCCAGCAGTCCGACTTTTTAATAAACAGTCCCGTCATTGTGTCTCCCGTCTCCACTCAGCAGCCTACCGAGGTCGAGGCCCTGAAAAGCAGAATCAAGCACCTCGAAGAGCAGCTGGCTAAGGCACAGAAGCCTACACTGTCAAGGTTCCGCTCCAATATAGAAACATCCACGGCCTGTATCACCAAAAGGCTTCACGTTCAATATGAGAGCGCCTCCGGTCGTCCAGCGGCTATCACTCGCGGAATCATGAACAAGACACGTCTGTTGGGCCAAAGCTACTGGATTAGTGGTCTCGCTACCCTAGTAAGTTATGTCGCTCACTGAGGAGTAATGGCTGACCACCTAGCTTCGAGACCTCTTCCAAACGGTAGAGCCGTACCTCCTACAAGAGACATCAAAGATGTTTTCTGGCTTTTACAGATGCAAGGCTTTGGCACGGACAATCAAAGCAAGGCGAGCACCCAAGTGGCCGACACCACCAAGCGTGGACCTACCGCCAAAGGATCTGGCAGACAAGCTCGTCGAGTGCTACTTTCAAACAACAGAAACGATTTATCCCGTCATACATGTTCCCAGCTTCCGGACGGAATATGACGCTGTGTGGGCATCGGACAGCGAACCTAGGATGGCCTTCGTTGTTCAACTAAAGCTCATGCTTGCGATCGGAGCTACCACGTATGACCAGCAATTCTCTTTGCGCCCCTTGGCATATCAATGGGTGTACGAGGCTCAAACCTGGCTTGCAGAGCCGGATTTCAAGTCACGGCTTACCATCCAATCTCTACAGATACACATTCTGCTCTTGATTGCCCGGGAAGCCACAGGTATCGGTCCGACCTTGGTCTGGATTTCCACTGGCGAACTTCTTCGAACAGCCGTGAACATGGGATTACACAGGGATCCCAAACATCTACCACACGCTACTCTCCTGACTGCAGAGATGCGCCGAAGGCTATGGAACACGATCTTAGAGGTCTGCCTACAATCGAGCCTAACCTCCGGCGGACCCCCAATGATAACCCTAGATGACTTTGATGCCGACCCTCCAGGTAACTTCAACGACGAACAACTCATGACAGCGAACCCAGAACCAAGCCCAGACACAACATTCACCCGCATATCTATCGCCATAGCCCTCCGTAAAACACTCCCACTCCGTCTCACCATCATCAAATTCCTCAACGACCTGAGCTCCCACGGAACCTACGACGAAACCCTCCGCCTCGACACACAGCTCCGAACATCCTACAAAGAACTCTACCAGACTCTCCAAATCTACACCTCCTGCACCAGTCCCCCTCCATTCGCCATCCGCGCCGTAGACGTCCTCATACAACGCTACCTCTCCTCCCTCCACCTCCCCTACTTCGCCCTATCCCTGCACGACGCACCCTACGCCTTCTCCCGAAAAGTCGTCGTCGAAACAGCCCTCAAAATCTGGCGGTCCACCTACCAATCCTCTTCCTCTTCCCCTACATCAGAAGCATTCACCCGTTTCGTCACCTCCGGAGCGGGCCTCTTCCGCACCACCACCGTGCAAGCCAGCACCGTCATCGCCACCGAACTTCGATTCCAACTCCAAGAAGACCACCAAAGTCTCGACCCCGTCCCCCTCCGTCCGGATCTCGTCCGCGTCCTGGAAGAATCCAAAACCTGGACCCTCCAATGTATGGAGTCGGGGGAAACCAATACGAAAGGATACCTGCTTACGCATGCGCTCGTGGCACAAGTCCAGGGCTTGATGCGCGGGGTCACTGAGCAAGAGATGCATGATATATTGGTCAAGACGGCAGATGAAGGTGTCCAGACGTGTCTGCGGATTCTGGAGGGGAAGGCGTCGGAAGGACAAGCTGACTATACGGATGACGCGGGTTGTTTGACTCCGTCGAACTTTACGCCTGATCTGCAAGAGGACTTTGATTTTGATTTGTTGGTGAGGATCATCCACTTGCACTAGAATGCTGTTTGGTGACTAACGGTAATAGATGCCCGGCGCGATTCTCAACTCTGGTGATGCGGAGCTAATGAACTGGATGTTTTGCGATAATGCCGTGCAAGAGACGTACGGATTGTGATTGTTTTTCATCAGATACCATCTGTCATTCTATCTATTCTCGCTGTATCTTATCGGAGCAAGTCCATTCATGCAGAATGTTGGTGCCAGCAGGGTTGCAGGGAAGAAAGCAGAACCTCCGAGCTACTGAAGAACTCTGCCCACTCCTCCATCACATCCTATACTCCAGCCACCGTGACGTATTTCGCTCCGCGTTGAGGATGACTATAAACCATCCTGCCCGGTCGGCGAGGGATTTGGCGCCCGCGGCTCTCCCATCTACCTAGAGCCAAAGCTGATCCTCAGTTGATAAATTCCTTACGGACTCCCGATTGCTTCCCAACATATCACCCTCATATTTTCTATTACCCGACAACTCGAAGATCAGGGTATCCCAAGCGTCGCGGCATCTTATGGTCCCACAGTCAGAGCAATGGGTCCCACGTTACATTATGCAACAGACCGCAGGCTCAAGCCCTGGTACAGTCTACCAGACCCAGGCCTTGCCCGAGGAGATCTACGGCAGCTAGCTATTGAGTCTGCCCTATTCTCCGGTTATCTAAGCGATGTTCTCTCGGCCGCGGAGCACCCTTCTAGTGCTAGGCTCCAGGAGCACAAAGACGTAATCCAGCAGGTCTCTGAGGGATACAGAGACAGGGGCAGCACCGTTGCAGTGTGGTGGGTGAATTCTCCCGCCATCTGACCCATTACGGAGACTAACGCAGTAGCTATTCTGAAGGGGCGCTCTCCCCGAGATCCTTCTACTACGGATGCAGCAGGCATCGGAGATTTGGGGGGTCCGATGGCCAAACTAAGTCCGTAAGAGATTCCGCACATGGATCCGGTTATCACCGATCTCGTGTCGGGTGATGCGCTACGGTTCATCAAAATATACCAAGATCTGGGCCTCATTCACGCCCAAGCAGCCGAGTTTAACAGACACGTATACAACCATTGCTCCCGAAGTACGGAAGGCTCTTGGGACTGGCTAAGCGGGACTGGGCCTCTCGGTTTGAGCATCTCCGGGTTCACCTGGGGCGCGCATTGGTCGCGTACCTGGCTGGGAATCGGCTGGAAGAAGCCCGGCAGCGATGGGAAGAAGTACGAGGCCCTGCCCGATACTGTGAGCAGCACGGCAAGGTTACGGGGGTTTGTCGAGATGCTGATCCAATATTCTCTGTGTGACATCGCTGCTCGACGGGGGAATATGAATGAAGCACATCAATTTCTCCGAGACGCGAAGGCCCGGTTTGCCCGCATCGGACGAGAGCACTGGTGGACCTGTTTGGGCACCGCCCAGTTGGATCTCTACACGCAGTCACTCTGCCAGCATGACCTGATATCGGGGATCGCCTCGTGAAGTCAAGGCCGTCTGGTCCTTCCTGTCTTAAGTGACTGGCGGCAGAGACTAGCAATGCGCGAAGCTTTCAAGGAGATCCATCGAGATGACAAGACCAAATCACGGTTCTGATCAGACCCGCAGTGCACAGGTAGCATGGTTGACCCATTCATTACCGACCAGGATTCATCCGTCGGTCTTTATAAGCGCCTCATGATCACTCTGATTGTTCTGTCAATGATTCCATATACAAGCAACCGCACGTCACCACCACATACACCATCCTCTGCGAGGCTACCGACACGGTGAAGCCCCGTCACCAGACCCAGTACAGAACAAAACTCAGTCTAGTAGTACCGCACTTCCCGCCCCTATGCTTGTGACTGAGAGATCCACTTCTCCAGATGCCCGCCGGCCGTCATCCCCGTTTCATCCAAGACCGTCATCGGATCCGCATGCACGAAGCAGGCAAATACTGTACCGCTCCCTATCACCCGAGGCGACTCGATGCACACAGGATCGCAACCCCCCCTGGCACCGATGCCTCTTCGCCAGCTTCGGCAGCATATTTCCGACAAAGACCGTGATCTCATTCTCGCCGGGCTCCACCGGCACAAAGCGCGCACTGGCCCCGATGGCAGCGCTCCCCTTTTGGTCGGTCGATTGGAGGTCCGCGATCTCCAACCCACTCCGCCCACCTGCATCCTCTTGGATGAAGAGCGTCAGGAGGCCAAAGTCCTGGTGCGCGGGGTTTCTCTCCCCGCCCCCGACCCGGGGGTAGTGATGCAGCGCGATCGTATCATCCCCGGAGAGATGGTAGTGTGGGAGGGAAAAGCGCAGATCGAGGGCTTGGGAGAGCGACTCGAGCAGTGCGGGGATGAATTGGTTCATCTCCTATCACCCCCGGAGTCAGATTGAATATATAGATTCCCCTGAAGGCAAACCCAGATCGAATTCGTCATTTCCACATACTTGGTACAACATCGACACGGCGGGGTACCTGTCCAGCTCCTCTCTGGCGACATAGAGACTCTCCTTGGGAATCCGACTCCCCCGAACCGTTTCACCTTCGAACCCGGAAAAAGAAGACACGTGCCTTTTCCGCTCCGGCGGTTGGTTGAAAAACCCTTTGGCCTGTAGGAAGAAATACCGTCAGGATTGACGGCACCGGCCCGAAGGGGGATCTCCCCCGGCTGAATAGATGGATAGATAGATAGATAGATAGATAGATCAACCTACAAACCCGAAACAACCATCCTTCACCTGGGCCGAGAGTCCATGGTTCCGTAGCCGAACGGCCCCATACCGCTGGAGGAGTTCCTTCACGTGAGGCTCTTTGCCTTGGCGAAACAAAATAAAGTCAATTGCCGGAAAGACCGCGCGGGTGGATGGGGAGGACACCATGGTTCGATGCATGGTGAATGGTTGGGGGAAGAGGGAAATCGAACCTCCTCTCCATCGTGGAGATTACCTAGCCTGACCCCACGTTTTCCTTGTCAGCATCATTCCCCCGGGCTTACAGCTCAGCGTGGGGCGGAGGTGTTTGCCGCCTGAGGCCGCTATTCATGCCTGACTGCGTATCACAGCCCCAGGCATCCGAAGCGCCTGAGTTTCTTACAACAAAAGAAGCATCCAGTCAGAAGACTTCAAGAGTCTAAGGACTCTATCACGTCTCCGAAATGCAGTATCTAATTCAGATCTATAACCCAAGCTCTATTCTCTTCAAACCCTCCCCTCTACCTGATTAAACTGAAATAGCGAGCAAAGGTATTCAGATTGTATTACGTGTGAGAAGAAGACCTCCTGAAAAGGCTCACCCTTCACTGCCACGATGCGATGCCTGAGGCTTGATATCTACTACTACGAACCTGTTGCTAAATAATACAACAAGCAAGGCACAACATATAACCTTCACCACAAGAACACCTCCCTCAAAGGAATCTCACCTCCCCAACACCCTCCTCAAACACCTCATCTCCTCCCTCCTCTCCCCCACCCCTCTCCCCACCCGACTCCCCCCAAAACTCACCATCCTCGCCGTCCCATCCGCCTGAATCAAAAAATGCTCCTTGGTGATATTCCCATGCAACAATCCCAACTCATGATACCGCTGCAACACGCCTCGACAGGCCTCGAAATCCACCCCCGACGGCCGTCCCTCGCCCACCTTCTGCAAGACGAACCCCATGACCCGGCCGTTTTCATTCAAATGGCCCCGGAATTCCGGCGCAAGGTGGAGGATGTTATTGTTCTTCAGGAGACGGTAGATCATGGTCTCGGTTTCGAGTTCGGTGATGTTGATTAGGTTGAATTTGGTGTAGCAGGTGGAGGTGGCGATGGAGGGGGGCAGGGCGGTGCGGATGGCGGTGCTGAGAGTGAGGGGGTCTTCCCAGTTCGGGCAGTGGATGTGCGTGGGGTGCCATAGGAAGGACCTTTTCACGCCTGGCCAGTGTTCGAAGGTGTATTTGAAGTGGTGGTCGGGTTTGGTGCGGTAGGCTCGGGCTGCGTTGTGGGTGCCGAAGGCGGAGAGATGGGGGATGGGGATGTTGATTTCTGTTTTGGGGGGGTAGGTGGTGGGTGCAACGCTTATGTATTTGATTTGGTCGTGGAGTTGGACGCGGTAGATGATTTCTTTGGTGGTGGCGTCTTGGTGCTTCGTGAGGACGCGGATGGGGTCTTTGTGATGGGGGGATTTGCGGGAGGGCATGTTTATCGGGGTATTAGGGTAGTGTGGCTGGTGGTGAGGGGATGAGGGTGAGGATGAAGTGGAATAAGTGATCGTGGCAAGCATCTCAAGCTCCTTTATAGGTCAGAACGCGAGTGATGTTCCCTACTTTGGTAGGAGTTTCGCGTGTGGAGGAATTCGACGAGATGTAGGCATTCTTCATGCAGGTACGGTCGCGGGATATGAAGTCTGGAAAAGGCCCTGCTTTGATCCTGCTGAATTCTTTTCACTTTCTATGCCTGTGGCTAGCTCTTCCATCTTCTGAATTCACTCCATCGAGATGATCAGTCACCAAGTCAGTCAGCTTATCACTCTTATTCTCAAACTCACCATCTTCCTAGACTCACTTACAGCCTCATATCTCAATTGAGTAGGTATATGCCTTCCTATTGACTCGATCATGAACTATAGTACAATGTTTTAATCTGTGATTCATAATATATCTCGTACATGGCACACAGTATAAACAGCTAGAAGAGGTAGAGCTTGACCATTATAGTCTACTCGCAAGCAACATTTGTTTTGAATACTCCTTTGATCTATGTATCCTTTTCCTGGCATGCAATAACCTTAACATATTAATTCATCTAAACAGTGACACTACATAATAACTAACGCGAACCATATCTGCCGAATGACTGTTCGGTTAAATCTGCTCGGCTTTTCAAAGTTGGGTATGCACTTCAGGTTTGCTGTGATGGATGTGGAGTCGTGGTCTGAACTGTCAAGAAGCAGATTCGGAGAACGTTTTCGCGGTCGTGGTTCAGGTCTCCCGGAAGGTGGAGGAACTTCAGAGTAGATTGGATTGGGGAACTAGTCAGGAGGTGAAGTTCATTGAATTGAGTAGTAGCTAGTATCAGCGTATAAATTATAATCCAATATTGCGAGTACTTAATCCTAATAACGCGATTGGCCCTCTACCATCACCTCCCATTCTAGTTGACTAACAGTATATGGGGTGGCTCTATCAATTCTTTGTGACAATATAAGAAGTACTGCATGAGCTAATAATCACAGAAAATTTTGGAGCTAGGCCTATCTCCCTTTATTGTTCTATCCAGACTTTGTCCGGAGCTGCTGTCTTTCTTTCGGGGTGTGTGAGGTGATTTCTACATTCTTATATCGAATATAAAACCCCAGAATATGTTCTTTCTCGTGTGCCTATTTATCCCTTTAGTTTATAATACATTATCCCTGCTTCTTAATGGGCGGTACAATGATAAGACATTATATAAGTACTATTCTATCGCTTATTACTAACCAACGCCCGATCGGCGAATACAGTATTATCTACGGAATTTAACGATCATTGATGTTTGAAGTGTACCTGTGCTGATGCGTATGCCGCAGAAGCTATGAAACCATCAGGCAGCCCACCACATCATGATACTAGCCCGAAAATAGTCTTATATTAAGCTGGAAGATCCGATAGATTGTAATATGTGATCATCAATCCCTTGGAGCCCATAGGTCACTCGGAAGGAGGCTCTCTGGACAGCCCAAGTAGTATTTGATATGACGATTCTCTCATGTCAGTTGACCAAGCCCATTTTTCCACCTTCTCCCTATATATACTTCCCATCTCCTTTCTCCATATCCTTCCACTTCCGAACCAAGCAATGTCATTCACAAACCATCGATACAGAAACCCGCCTTCCCATCCCACACCACCAACAATGCTTGACACCTTCCACCCCTTTCCGAATCTTCCGACCGAACTTCGCTTGTATATCTGGTCTCTATCTCTCCTCAACATCGGCGATAGGATCGTCATTGCCACATGCCGTCGACATCACCGAGAGGGCCGCTATTCCTGGTACTTTTGCGCCAAGCTGCCAGCTCAGCTACATGCCAGTCGCGAAGCTCGCCAAGAGGCCCTTCGCGTCTACACCCCTCACTTTCGCATTGAGCCTACAGTGAACTCTGCACCGCGCTCTTATGTTTATTTGGCTCCTGAGCGCGATATTGTTCGCCTAAATCAAAATGCACTGCTACATATCGGTGAGGCAGACCTGAAGATTCTGCGTCGGGTCATTCTCGACATCAACTACAACCCAAAACTCTTAAAGCTTCCCTGGATAGCTCTAAGGAAAATGGAGCGGTTAGAAAAGCTTGACTTGCTCATCTGGCAAACGTCCGGGCATCAGATACACCACAGTAAACGGGAGATTGTACTCAACATCCGGCAGCAATTTGTTGCATTCTTAAGGTACAATCCGCGGTGGAACATGCCGGAGGTTAGGTTCGCATGTAATTAGTTGTCGGAAATTGTCTGGGGCTCCTTATCGTTCTGATGATGAGTTTTGCTGGCTCTACTGAGGCTTTGAAGAACTTTTGTCTTATAACCATATAGTAAGTGGTTGATTGCGCATAGATTAGTGCGGGTTATCTGTTCTATATGTTTGGACGGGAATTAAGGAAGAACGAGGCCAGACATGCTAGGAGACAGCTAGTGTTTTGAATTTCTGTAAGACATACATCAACCTCCCTTGGAGTATAATCGTACGGAGTCATGGTCTTCAGCATAAGACGCGTTGGCAATATACTGTTCTCTTGGATACAGCTATGACCTCAGAATGCATCTTATTGTTGGTAAAACCAGTGATATCTATCCTTTTACACTCACATCCACCCACTAAACTCTGGCTGTATTCAGCTGAACAGCTCCTCAATTAACTAGTTAGGGCTGTTATCCTGACTAAGCAGCGCAAGTCACATGCCCGATAGCTCTATCACGTGCCTCTATCATCACGATTGATTGCGGAACTTCGTACTTTTCTCGAGCTCCCACCTCCCCACATCCACGCAAACACTTCGTGTCTCTGAAGGCCCTGTCCTTCTGATTCTCCCGTGGGATTTTTGCCTCCCGATGGGTGGATCTCTAGACGCCGCCCTGGACAGTGGACGCTGTCGAGATCCCTGACGATGGCACCTCCGAGCGGGTCGGCGGCATACAAGAAGAAAGATGGCACCCTGACCATAGCTCAGGACAGCCAGTCGATCTCTTGGATCCCGGCGGCTGGTGGTGCAGCTGGGACAATCACACTTCCAGTTGCTCAGATTACGAGTGCGTCGTGGTCTCCAGCTTGCCTCGCCCGGGCGCTACTGTTACTGACGACGGGAAATAGATTTACAACAGACCCCCGCGAGTAATCCGAAAGTGATGCTGAAGATCTTCGTCCTCCCTCCGAATGCCCCCGCCAACTCCCCCGAACAATACGTTTTCTCCTTTACAGCTGGAGCGAATGCCCGTCCCGAAGCAGATGCCATCCGAGATGCCCTCAGTGCGGCGATCCAGGCGGCGAAAAATGCCCAGAATCCCCCCGTCAAAGAAGGCGTGTCTCCTGCGATGGCCATAGCGAATGCGGTGTCGTCGGCCGGAAAAGTGAAGAATCCGTGGGATGATGACAAACGGCTTCAAGGGGACGTGGAATTGCAACAGTCGCTGCTCAAGTCGAATCCGGTCCTCCAGCGCATGTTTATGGAGTCGCTACATACCAAGCCGGATACGCTGTCAGCTGGACAGTTCATGACGCAGTTCTGGTCGACTCGACTCCATCTTTTGCGCGCGCATGCCATCGAGCGGTCGCAGTCGCGCGGGTCCTACAATGTGCTGTCGACGCTGAAGCCGCGGGTGGAGGACAGTGTGACAAAGTTGAATATTAGCAAGGAGCAGATTCAGCTGATCTTCAGCCAGCATCCCCTCGTGAAGCGGGTGTACGATGAGAACGTGCCCAAGCTCAGCGAGCAGCAGTTTTGGTCTCGGTTTTTTCAAAGTCGGCTGTTCAAGAAACTTCGCGGCGAGCGCATCTCGGAAACGGATCCGACTGATATGATTCTGGACAAGTACCTCAAGGCAGACGAGTCGGGCAATCTGCCACGCGACGCGCATGTTCCACATTTTCTGGATTTGGCCGGAAATGAAGTGAACAACAGCCAGCGGCAGGGCAACCGACCCGATGTCGACATGCGCCCATCCTCAGTGGAGAAGGTGCCTATTATCCGCACGCTCAACAGTCTGAGTGAGAAAATCATGGCGAACGTTGCATCAGCTGACGGGGAGGCGCACACGGGCGCGGAAGACGGGACATACAACGAGCTGCAGCTGCGCGATCTACGCGGAGATGAGGAACAGAATCGTATCCTCCTCAACGTCAAGGACCAGAGTCGCTTTTTCTCGTCGCAGAATAAGTCCGCCGAAGACGAACAGAATAAGCTGTTCGCCCAGCAGGATCCCAGTAAGATACTCGCAAACCTCCGCGGGGATCTAGGACGAAATTTGCCGGAGGGCGGAACCGCGCCGCTAGGAAAGCTGGTCGAGCCTCAGGAGGACGACGATGAGGATCAACAGAAGTTTGTCAATGTCGTTGGCTCCAGGCCTAATTTGAAGCGCGCGTCTACCCAAATCCTCGAGGCGATCCGCGACCGTCGCAGCCAAACCGAGGGATCTTCTTCTACCGGCACATACGGTCTATCGCCTACTCTGTACGACCGTTTAACTCTGACACACGCCACGACGACCGAGTTTTTGCATCAATTCTGGCAGGCGTTTTTGTCCGGGAATGCGGATCGTGCGGGGGAGGTGGCTTCGCTCGTCGAGTCGCTGAACCGAGCGATGGAGCGCATCAAATCGGTGGCGCAAGACGCAGAGGCCGAGCGCCAGGTGGAGGTCGGTCGACTCAAACAACATGCGCGAGAAATGCTAGAGAGGACTGGGAGGAAGCTCAAGATCAACCTGGCCGGTGTGGCTGGGGGCGAGCAGACGGTCAATCGACTGCTGGGACCGACCATCCGGGCGTTGGAAACGGCGTTGGCGAAGTACAACCAGGCGCTGGCAGAAGAAATGAAGGAAATGCCGGCGGGATGATTGGCGACTATGTATGATAGAATAGACATAAATGACTGTTAACGATTTATATATTCCTCTGTACTCTGTAGACGTCGGCATGCCGAGCCCTCCGCTCTCCGCCCTCCGCCTCGGCCCGCCCTTCACGCGACGTGTCCCTCACTTCCCTCATGCAACTGCAGCGCTAACCACCACAAACGCCCACCTCTAACGCCCACCTCATGCTCTAGTCACCACTTCTCCACCAGGTGCAATCACCTCCGAATCTGATCCGCCTAAATCCAGGAAATTTCCACCAACAACCCGAAGATGATAACCTCCGGGCTCACCAACGCCCCCATCTCCAAATCCTTCCTCATCTACACCATCGCCTCCTCGGTGGCCCTCGCCATCTTCGACCTGAAGCACCTGACCCATATCCAGGTCGTGCCGCACATCTGGCAATATGGACAGTTCTGGCGCATGCTAGTGTGGCAGGAAGCCGGGTTCGCCAATTCCACCGAGGCGCTGTTCGCCGCAATGCTAGTGTATCATCTACGGGTTGTAGAGCGCGCGTGGGGAACGAGGAAATTCGCCGTACGTGTCTCTCTTTCCCATATGCATATCTCCATATGATTCTTAGTGCACGCTAATCCTAATGATGGTGTGGATAGACATTCCTCTTAACAACACTCCCCTACACGACCCTCCTCCCACCCCTCCTCCTCATCCTCGTCGTCCGACCCCTCACCCTAGGAAAACTGAACTACCTCCCCTCCGGGCCCGTGGCCACTCTCTTCGCCCTATTGGCGCAATACCACGCCTCCATCCCCCATACCTTCCGCTACCGGATTTCTACATCCTCCGCTTCTCCGTCGTCGTCTACGAAAGACCAGCCCCAACAGACGGGTAAATTCCTGACCCTCTCGCTATCGGATAAATCGACCACGTATCTGGTCGCTGCGCAGCTGGCTCTGTCTCAGTTCCCGGCTATGGTGCTTCCCGCTGCCGTGGGATGGCTGGTTGGGGTGGCCTGGCGGATGGAGTTCTTGCCTGGGTCTGGACGGTGGAGGGTTCCGGCGTGGGTGGTGGGGGAGAAGGAGAGGAGAGTTGTTGCTGGAGCTGGGAGTGGAGAAAGTGGTCGATATGAGGATCTGAGGAGGAGACTGGAAGGGGAGGCGATGGCTGCGTCGGCGTCGGCGAGCTCGTCGGCTGCGGGTGCGTCAGGAGAGGGATTGGGACAGCGAAGGAGGAATGGAGGGGCTTAGATATGTTCCTTGGTTACTTGTAGGTAACTAAGGGAGATGAAAATTTCATTCGTGTTTTCTAGAGGGGAGTAGGCGTCATAGATTTTAAGGCGTTCAAAGGCATATTTGGGAGAAGGTATTTGTTATGGCCCCATATGCTAGTAGTATACGACAGATTTGGCTATTGCTTTGTCTTCTCACTTGTTCATTACAATCTCGTTGGTTCCATCAATGATTGGACTGTAGTTCATGTAGGATGCCCGGGTAGCCGATAGGAACAGGCCAGCGGTCAAAATTTTTAAATCTAGAACTTTGAAGGCAGCTGAATTGCCTGGAGATGAGATATAAATAGGATGCGAAAATGTGATCGTTTAAACGAAAACCAAGTGATCTATGGATGCTCTACTTCGTAGAATATAGCTACTCTTAGTGAGATAGACGAAGAGGATCCTTCTGAGTGTCAAAGCTGAGTCTGCGGGGTACGTCAAGCTCATCTAGATACTTGGTAAAAGACGCATCTGATTGGTTGTTCCCTTTCTTTCTCTAACCTCTTCCCCAAGGCCCCTTATACTTCGTATTTCGTACCGACTATTCATGGATCGATCCAAGCCCAGGCTGTGCGGGTCCTACTTCCAAGCCTTCAGGGCCATCTGATCCACATGGCGGTTTCAAGGTTAAGCCTCCGCGCTTTGACAATTCCCACGTGACTCTTATCGGACAAATTAGCGGTCGTAACCGGCAGAATCTAGCCAGCTGAACTCCTCATCTTCAGTCAGCTGTTATCGTCTCCTATTGTTCTTCTGCAACTACGAGCTTTACACTATACCGATAAATTCATGCAAACCCACACTCTTTTCCAGTACATGCATACAACCAACCACAAATAGGACATGACCGTTACCATCTCAATCAATGGTCCCCACTCCCAGCTCTCCTAGCTCGTTCCTTCGGTATGGCTTGTCCCGCCGGTTTGGCCTCCGCCGGCGCCTCCTTCAGGGTCTCTTCATATGCAGTGTGACCTGGACGATTGTGGAGGTGCTTTATATCCATCACCGGGCTTCGACTATGGTCCAAGTTGGGAACCGTCCCTCGCACCAATCTGAGCGGCTATTCATCGCGAGCATGCACTGGAACAACGAAGCAATCCTGCGCAGCCATTGGAACGATGCGGTCATAGAGCTAGCCAAGGCCTTTGGTCCTGATAATGTTTTCGTGAGCGTTTTTGAGAGTGGAAGCTGGGATGATACCAAGGGGGCCCTCCGAGAGCTTGACGCTGGGCTGGACCGACTCGGCGTGCGGCGCAACATCACCTTGTCGGATACAACTCATGAGGATGAGATATCCGCTCGTCCTCGGGAAGGCTGGATCGATACACCCCGCCATAAGAAGGAACTAAGGCGCATACCTTATCTTGCGCGCCTACGTAATTTGACCTTGCAGCCGCTGGAGGAGCTGTCGCAGCAAGGCATTACGTTCGACAAGATACTGTTCCTTAACGATGTCGTCTTTACGGTATGTCTGGATTGTCATGACTATGCTAATACCGAATCTACGATATCTCGGCTCATTAAGGACTACTCATAGGTTGATGATGTGACCACATTACTCGGTACGAATGACGGTTTCTACGCTGCCGCTTGCTCACTAGATTTCTCGAAACCGCCTCTATACTATGACACATTCGCCTTGCGCGATTCAAATGGCGATGAGCAGGTGATGCAGAAGTGGCCATACTTTCGCTCCGCGGCTTCGCGCAATGCGCTACTTGCCCTGTCTCCTGTGCCCGTCAAGAGTTGCTGGAATGGAATGGGTCAGTGACTCTTTTCACATGCCTCTTTCGCCCTGCATTGACTGATAGACTATCGCAGTTGCTATGCCTGTGGAGCCCTTTGTATCCACCACCCCTCTGCGATTCCGAGCTATCTCTGATTCCCTTGCGCTTTCACACCTCGAGGGTTCCGAGTGCTGCTTGATTCACGCAGATAATCCTCTTTCCCAACAGCAAGGGGTCTACCTAAACCCAAAAGTCCGTGTCGGTTATAACCCCGCAGCATACGAAGCTGTCCATCCTACAGGGGCCTGGTTGTCGCTACAACATGTGTCATTGGCTCTCTGGGAGAATAGATTTCGACGTTGGCTTACAACACCATTATTCAAAAAGCTGGTCGTCCGCAGAAGAATTGCTCGTTGGCAAGACGATCATGGCGACGAGCGAGAACCCGGCGATTTCTGCCTAATCAATGAGATGCAAGTGCTCGTCTTCAATGGTTGGGCGCATGTTTGAGGCCTGGCCGCCTGATCGGGGACGATTCCTACGTCTCCTTCAGCTAGTGTCCGTAATTATTGATTTGGGGTAACCTGAAAGCATCACCTACACCCGGCCACTATCTCTATCGCTACCCCCTATCTCTTGGAACTGCGCATATATTCATTAGTGGCGGTGGGATGAACTAGTTATGGACTATTGGCAACAAGGCTCAGACAGGCAGAGGAAAGAGCCAAATACAGCCGTTCGGCAACAAGTAACGAACAGCTACGTTAAGCGCCAGTTCAATCCCTTGGTTTGCAGGGATCTTTGTCTCAGGTCAATGATATGCTTCTTTGCGGGCCCGCGGCGCTAATGCGTGGTTCTTATCCGTATCTGACCGGCGCGACCAGCCTTCCCTTCAATCCCGTGCAGGGGAAAGTGCTCGAGTTACACTTAAGCTGGTCCTACAGTTTCGTTCCACTTCATCTGCTAGGGGCTAGTTTTGACGTGGGCACTATCCGTTGGTCAATTTGTCCGTCATGGGCCAGGACCTGGTGGCATTGCTTCAGCTAGCTACACCATTTCCCCAAGCGCTAATCCTCTGGCGGGTACAAGGGTGTGGAGGCCAATCATTCTCCGAGTCACAGTCCTACGTTACGCGCCAGTGACTTAGTAAATTAGATTAATGCAGCCTCCAAAGATACCCCGCGGGCTTAGGCGCAAGCCATTTATAGGATATCTGCGCCTCGCACGACTTGCGTACCGTCTCATAAATCACACCTTATGTCTTGCTCTCGGTCGCGGCCAACATCCGCGTTCCTCAATAAGGCCTACACCACGGGTTTCCGGAATGACTGTTGGGCACAGTACTCGGCCAGCTTTACAGAATGGAATTCACCTCGTCCATATCAGTTATTCGTCGTCGAATTTGTCATCGCAGACACAGTTGGATGGGGAAAGCCTGGACTTAGGGACAACTTATACCGAAGCATATAGGTCGACCACCGCGTAAGTCCGATTGAGCCTAAATAAGTCTGGCTCTTGCTGAACAACTGTGACATACCAAACAGCGATTCTAGTTCGCATGGTGGTCTCTCGCGCTCCGACACTGGCACCTCTGCTAGCAGCCGTTCACTACGAGCGACTGAGCGCACCCGGCGTCGATGGCGTCCGGTTCTTATGAACTCCCAGAGGATGTTGCATTCGTTCCGGTCTGGACTATCGGACCAGATGGGAAAAGCAAGAGGTCGATTGCGCTGGCGGAGAATTCAATCAGATAGTCGACAATCCGGGCTAGGCGACCACTTTCTGGCTCTCTTGAAAAGTCTTGGGGTCACATCCTTCTATAACACCTGCTGCAAGTTGCGTGGCGTTGAAGTCACGGAAAAGCCCAAGGTCTTCATGTACAGGAGCAAGACGCTTGCATCCATCCGCTGTGTCCTGCACGTGGTTCCCGTTGGTGCCGCATTTGCGCTTTTGATGTTAAACTCGGCAGGTTACTACATTGGGGGCGAACTGTCTGGTGCCTCCGGTCAGGATACGGAGAAGCTGGCTGCGCTGACATTCGCAGCCAAGCTTCATGAACTTCTTATGTTGGCTTCACTTGGGTCAATACTGATTACTTACATCCGCAGAGAACTTGCGTTTGGTGAGGGCCTTCCATTTGGCGCTATTTTCACCTCATTGCAGTTTCAGGATATCAGTTTCCTCTGGTCTCTCAGCATGTGGGGCTCAATCCAACATGACTGGCAACGACGGAGTACCAAATGGTTTATCCTCTCGCTGATGGTCATCTGTACCCTTCTTGGTTTGACTGTGGGACCATCTACAAGTAACTTGATGAAACCTCGTCTTGGTGACTGGCCCGCGGGCGGCACGCCGTTCTGGATCAATTGCACCAAGGACGTACTTTTTCCTCGTACAGTCGAGAACTCCTCGTCGCTATCGCATTGTGCCCTTGACAATAGCGATCTCGCTTGTCCGGCTGGGAACTGGCAGATCCTCAACCAGGACTATTATTCGTTCTTTCCAAGGCTCGTCGACGCCGGCAGTGTTCCTCAAAACATCACCGTCTCGGGTGCAGCTTCAATACGAACCTTTGGAATGAGGTCTCGCAATCTGTTTGGCAGCCACGAGATGATGTGGGGGAATGCTTATACCATTGCAACTACTCCGCTCTCTGTGGTCGCTGATAGCGTTGCGGAATTGGGTAGGCTATGGTCGTACGCTGCTGCCAATATTGACGTTGGCCGATTCAAGTTCAGAAATGATGCGCTTTTTACGGTCAACTCGCTGCAGCCGGTGGTGCTCACATTCTGCGGGCAAACTTTCTACGACTTTTCCAATAATTTAACTCTTTCCTTTCCCGCGTTGGGTACGGCGTCTCTCTCCGGCGGGCCGGGTACGGCGGACACAAGTCAGGCCTCAGTTAAATTATACGATGGGTATTCCAACGACGTTATTCAGAAACAAGTGAAATCACTCCTTCAGCAAAGATCTTCTCCATCCGTGCTTTGGGTTGATGACCCAAATCTGTTGCAACCTCTCGATGCCACCTTGGCTGCGATCCTTACGCTGCCTGGCACAGATAGCAGCAATCCACAATACTTTACTTGCAGTGTCGACAGCAGGTTCACCAACGTCACTCTTATTTCCACCCGAAACGCAATCAAGATCGTCGCTGGTCAGCCTATAGACATGGATAAGAATGGGACATTCCATGCCGATTGGCCGCGAATTGCGCTTACAGCGGATTGGGCAAAATATCTGACACCGGTAATTCCTGGCACGAATGAAACGATCCTATCCCCTATCACCTCAATGGCTGGCATCTTCAACAGTCCCACTCCCTCAGCCTCATACTATCACGATATTATAGTGGAGAACATTCTCGCTACGCTGATCACCAATGGCATCGGCCGGTCTGCGTACAATCACAGTATCATTATGAATCTGAAAGGCGCCGTCGATCAAAGCGACCTGTGGGATGGAGGCGACTGGATATACGACATCATCCCCAAGGGTGGAAACATGGGCAAGGGACGAAATGCTTTCAATGTGTCGGCCGCCGTGCGCAACCAATCTACCGAATTGGCTATGACGGCCTACGTGAATGGCTACGCATACAGCGCAGCAGGAATCACATCCGTACTGGAGATGGTCGTGCTTGCGATTTATATAGCAGTAGCTATTGCTCATGTCTGCTATTCGATCTACAGCGGACTCTCCTCGAGCAGTTGGGGTTCCGCGCCAGAAATCGCAGTGCTTGCGTGGAACTCGGTACCCACGGAGAAGATGGCTAATACAGGAGCTGGTATATCGACCGTCGACATATACAAGCACAACATTCGAGTCATGCACCGGGGCAACAAACTGGAAATTGTAACCCGGGATAACGAGGAAAGCCCGGAGAAGGGAAACCAGCCGTTTCAGCAAGCTACGACAAATGTTGACGACGTACACACGGGTTCTGATTCGGATAGAACAGATGAGGACATGGAACCCGTTGAAGAAAACCAGGCCTATTGTTGATCTAGACACGCTACTGGACGGCAACAAAATATATCTATCTAATACACTCTACTGATATCCAACTCCATCTCAGTCTTCGACAACTCTTTCAAGATGGTTGTTGTTTTCTTTACCCACGCCTTAAGAAGTATCTTATCTTTTTTCCCTCCTTCCATTAATCCTTTCTTGCAAGAATATATCTACCCCCATCCACGCCCTATGTACATCCACCGACTACACCGTATGATTCACACACAGACAAATCCCATAATCAACCCCAAAATAAATGATAGCAGCACCACCAACACACATCCACCCCATGCCCCCCCCTAAACCCAATAGATATGTATATAGGGGGTAAAAAAAAAGAAGGAATCAAAAGAAAAAAAGGATATGTCCCGAGGGAGGTTCGAACTCCCGGCCTTGGGATCGCATGGAAGTTTGAATCTTCCACGTCATACTGGAGTATGAGACCCACGTGATAACCAACTACACCATCGAGACAAATTGTTGAGGACTTTGCTTGTCGGATGGACCTATATCCAGAAGGTTTGCTTTTGGGATGCGGGTGTGGAACTACTACACAAGGTAATTGACGGGCAGTGGGATTGTAGGATGGCTGAAAGTTTCGTTTTGGATTTTCTGTGGATATTAACTAGTGCTACTACTATTCTGTTCAAGGATTGGTTTCTTGTCTTCTTTCTTAGGTCTTTCTCTTTTTTCTTTTTTCGTTTTTTAATAGGCGGGTGGAGAGAATAGGACTGGGTTCTTGGAGGGGATGGTATATATCACCAGGGTATCGATTCTAATATTTTAGGTAGCAAGTCATGAGAGAACAGACCGAAACACCTCATTGTCTATATTATATACATATGCCAACCAGCGACTAGTAGATTTTGATCTATGTTGCTCATTCCAATCATCGCCCACTTCGACTCCGTCGCATACTCTCCTTGCACTCATTGCAATACCATTTGACTATTCACGTTAGCATTTGAATGAACCACCTCGCGGCAGAAAACTCACCATTCTTTCCAGGAGGTTTCGTCAAGCCGACACATGACAAGTGGAACCATTCGCGAGGACAGGCGTCATTGTCGCACGCAACCATCTCGCCGAAACTGATTTCGTTACAGTAGCAGTATCTGGGCTCGCCGTCCTCGTCCTCATCATCACCCTCGTGGAGAGATTCTTCCTCTTCGGACACCGCCCGCGGTTGCACCACCGGGATGCTGTTGTTCTTTTTATGAGACCGTTTGGCTGGCGCCGGATCTGTACTGCGAGTCGGTCGCACGCGCTGAGCTGGCTCGGAGAAGGTGGCCAGAGTGGGTGTTGACGTCTTGGATGATCGGCCCTTTGGTGGTGGGTTCGACACAGAAGGCACCGGTGTTTCTCCTGGCTCAATGGATTGTGCAGGTTTCCCGTCGGTATCCTCGCGCTTGGTGCTCACTGGAGGTGGCACCTTCGATACATCCACCGTCGCCTCTTCCAGTTCCCGTTGTGTATCCGGATTAGACGTAGGTGTAGCCTCAGTTTTGGATGCGGTTTCTTTGACGGTAACCTTTGTTTCTGTGATTTTACCTGCAACAGGATCTTAGTTAGCACTACCTCTGGTACCACCGGTGGGAACATACTATTGCTAGTTACACGGTTCGATGCCGAAGATGATGGCCTCTGACGGCCATTGTTTGCTTGCCCCGAGTTCTGCTGGGTGCGAGAAGACTGCGGCCGCACTGCACCAGGCCCAGGGCTGGCGGCACTCCGTGGAATGGCCGCTGCAGCGACTACAGGGGACGGGGCCAAGACAGGCGAATCAACCGCAGAAACATTGGTATTGTTCCTATTATCCATGTTAGCTAAATACTCACAGAACAACAGACAGACGTACCTCTTTCGCGCAGCCGCATTCGCATTCGGTGCCCGGGCTCTCTTCTTCGTAGCATCAGCGGCATCCTTTGATGCAGCTTGTCTCGAAGTACTAGCGTTGCTAGCAGTGCGCTCCATTGCAGCACCACCCTCCACCGCCGGCGGTCGCTCGACCTTGCGCCGTTTGGCCTGGCCCGTCCCAGTGGTTCCCTGGCCATGTGCGCCCGACTGATCGCCAGCACCTGCACCTCCGCGAGCCTTGCTAGATTGTCCCTTTCGAGCACGCACATCGTCCAGATCCGAATCAGCATGCGCGCGACGCTGCCTGCGTGCCATGACAGCTTCGCGCCTAGCTTCGCTCCGAGAAGCAGCCTCTACCTCATGGATCGCATGAACCAATTCCTTACTGGCTGCGGCCTCCCGGCGAGGTCGCTCATTAGTAGTCGTCTTGGCGACATTTCTATTCGAATAAGCCCAATGAGAGAGACTCCCTAGACGAGCCTCATCGCTAATTTCCCCTGCGATGAACGGAAAGATAGTATCCAGACGTGTGAGCTGCCGGTCTAGTTCATCGTTCGCATTCGAAATAACGTGGTTCTTCTCGTCCGCAGTCATCATCAGGTCCGAGAGTGTATGTCGCACACGATCGAACAGGGCACGGCGGTTTTTGCTTTCCTGGGATTCGGGGTTGTGCGAGAGTCCCTAATCACAATTGCTTGTCAGCACACTATCATAGATAGCGTATCCCCGCAGAGCACTCAATGACCCACCGAGGGTATATAATCTTCCCGGACAGTCCCAGAGACAATGGGGTTCGGGTTGGAGGAGTATGGCACAGGCTGTGATTCCGAAGAAGCCTTCAGCAGTTGAAGCAGATTATCCTCAAGAGCCCAGGCCTTTGCATCGACTTCTTTCAGTAGCGAATTGTGCCGGCGAAATTCCCGAGGGAGGGCCGTGATAGCGTCCGTGAAATGAGTGAGAGCGGGATAGAAGCCATGGGCGACAGGGGTCGCAGAAGGGGTGTCTGTCATCGACGAATGACCATAAGCAAAAGAGGAGCGTCCCAGCGTCTTGGAAGTGCGGGATGGGTTCGTTCTCGTCTGTCGCGTTGACTGACGAGCGCTCTGACCCTGAGAATTCATGGCTGATGAAGAAACGGCAGACATGATGGAAAAGAGAACAGCCGGTCGGACAGAAGCCCAGCTCAATCAGGGAATAAGAAGCGCTCAGAGATAGGGGATGATCGATGGCTCAACAACGGGAACATGGACAAGGCAGAAAAATCGGGGGTGGGAGAGCAGAGTTGGAGCGATGGAGGCTGCAGTGCGGAGAAGACCCGGCAGCCATCAGGTGATTGGTGCCTGCAGACCAAGGCAGGCAATGTGGCTGACTCAGTCTCACCGATAAGCCCAAGTGACGTCACGTATCATGAAAGATTCAAAAGCACCACAGATTCTACCAACTGGTCTATAACGGAACAGCAACCAAAACAAAAACGAAAAACAATTGGGGCAAGCCGGGCTTGAACCGGCCACCTCCAGATCTTCAGTCTGACGCGCTCCCAGATGCGCCATTGCCCCGCAATTGTTGTTTATAGAACCTTTGTTGACGCTATGAGACACGACATGATTAGAATATCCTAACATGGGTCTGCAACAGTCTATCTCCCAGCTTACAACCCTATGTAGCGACTACCGGCTAGTGAATCCAGTTAAACCAAAGAAACTGATTATATCAAGGTTCTTAATTTACACGCGTGCACGAACACATGCAGGTATAGGCAGGCCAGATCAAAAACAGATGCTAGAACGACCCAAGCCCTCACAAGCATGACGGTATAAGCATCGTACACTATGCTGCTGACAAAGGAAAATCATACAATGAAGACCAGAACGAGCCGACGCTAGCTCCCCAAACCAAAGCACCTACAAAGCCACTTACTCGCCCTTGAGGCGCTCCTGGTGGACAGTGAAAGCATCCTGAAGGAACTCCTGCTCCTCCTTAAGATGGACGGACTTGAGACCGGTGGCAACGGAGGCGCTGGGGGCGCGACCGGCGTAGAGAACGTGACGGCGGTTGTGGTGCTCGGTCTCGTTCAGCAGGGTCTCAATACGGGGCTGGGTGTAACTCCAGGCACCAGCGTTGAGAGGCTCCTCCTGGGCCCAGACAATGTTGCGGGCGTTGGGGTAGCTGTCCAGGTTCTCCTTCAGCTGAGCCCAAGGGAAGGGGTGCAGCTGCTCCACACGGGTGATGGCAGTGTTGCGGATACCGTGGGCTTCACGGTGCTTGATAAGAGCGGCGTAAACCTGGCCAGAGCACAGGATGACACGCTCAATCTTCTCGGGCTCATCGATCTCCTTGCCGTGGCCCTCGTCGGGAATGATCCACTGGAAGTGAGACTCGCCAGTGAAGTTCTCAATGTCGGAACGAGCAATGGGGTGACGGAGGAGAGACTTGGAGAAGAAGATCACGAGGGCTGGACAAGCGTTAGCTCCAAACTCGCATGGACAGATTCAAGGTACTTACGCTTGCGGAACTGGCGGTGGATCTGGCGACGCAGAATGTGGAACAGGTTGGCAGGGCTGGTCATGCAGGCAATCTGCATGTTGCAGTCCTGGTGCTGGCGGTCGAGCTTGTCACCGGCGGGGAAGACACGGGGCTCCTCGTTGCAGAGCTGCAGCCAACGCTCCATTCTGCCGGAAGAGTGCTCAGGACCCTGGCCATCGTAACCGTGGGGAAGAGAAACGACGAGACCAGAGCGCTGGAGCCACTTGGACTCTCCCGCAGCGATGAACTGATCGATGATACACTGAGCGTTGTTGGCAAAGTCACCAAACTGGGCCTCCCACATGACGAGTGCGTTGGGGGAGGTCAGGGAGTAACCGTATTCGAAACCAAGACTGCCAGAGATGTTAGCTTTAAACAATAAGAGAAAAAACCCGATACGTACGCTCCGAATTCACTGAGGGAGGAGTTGGAGATGACAAAGCTTCCCTGGTCCTCAGCAATGTGCTGCAGAGGAGTGTAGGTGCCCTCGTTCTCCTGGTCGTGCAGGACGGCGTGACGCTGAGAGAAAGTACCACGCTCCACGTCCTGACCGGAGATACGGACGTGGTAACCCTCAGACACGAGGGAACCGAAGGCAAGAGCCTCAGCAGTGGCCCAGTCAATGTTCTTGCCCTCATCCACAGACTTCTTGCGGTTGCTCAAGATACGCTTGAGGTTGCGGTGGAGGGTGAAGCCATCCAGGTTACCGCTAATCTTGTCAGCAACGTGCTGCAGCAGAGGACCCTCAACGCCGGTGGGGAGGTGAGGCAGAACCTCAGTGGCAAGCTCCTTGGGGGTCTTGAAACCGTTCCAGGCGGAGGTGAGCCATTCCTTGCTGGTAGGCTGGTAGTCCTTGCTGCGGTCGAAGCTGTCGTTCAGCATGCCCCAGACCCATTTCTTGTGCTCGTCGATGTCCTCCTTGGTGAAGGTACCCTCCTCGATCAGCTTGGCAACGTACTTGTCAAGCTGGCTCTTCTGCTGAGCAATGCGCTTGTACATCAGAGGCTGAGTGAACGAGGGCTGGTCAGTCTCGTTGTGACCCTGCTTACGGTAGCAGACGATGTCGATGACAACGTCACGCTTGAACTCGGCACGCCAGTCAGCAGCGACCTGGCAGACGTAGTTGACGGCCTCAACGTCATCCGCGTTGACGTGGAAGACAGGGGCGTCAATGGACTTGGCGATGTCCGAGCAGTAAGGAGTGGAGCGGGCGAACCGGGGGTCGGTGGTGAAACCGATCTGGTTGTTCACAACGATGTGAATGGTACCTCCGGTGGAGTAGGCGGGGAGGGAGTGGAAACCCATGGTCTCGTAGACGACACCCTGGGCGGCAAAGGCAGCATCACCGTGCAACAGCACACCCATGGCAGAGTTGAACTCGGTCTCATCCTTGTTGTAGTGCTGAATGGAACGGGTCTTTCCGAGCACGACCGGGTCCTCGGCTTCCAAGTGGGAGGGGTTGGCGACCAGAGAGAGCTGAACGCGCTTACCCGAGGGGGTAGGGCGCTCGAAGTTCATACCCAAGTGGTACTTGACATCACCGGAGCCTTCATCAGAGGGCTCGGTGGAGCCGGCGAACTCGCTGAAGATGGACTCGTTGGGCTTACGGACGACGTTGGAAAGGACGTTCAGACGACCACGGTGAGGCATACCGATGACGATGTCCTTGATGCCATAGTCGACACTGCGGTCGATGAGGGCCTTCATACCAGGCACAAGGGTTTCGCAACCCTCCAGACCGAAACGCTTGTCGTTGGGGAACTTGGTGGCAAGGAAGGACTCGAAGCTGTGGGACCAGATGAGGCGGTCGAGGATGCGGCGCTTGTCATCGACAGAGTAGTTGTACGGCTGGGGGATCTCGAAGCGGTCGCGGATCCAGTCGCACGGCTTACGGTCGGGAATGTGGATGTACTCCACACCGTAGGAACCGCAGTAGATCTTCTCGCAAGTAGCGACAATCTCGCGCAGGGTCATCTTCTTGCGCTCTTCGGTCGCAAAGCGGGGCAGGATACCGGGTCCAAGAGTGAACTCCTGGTCCAGGTCGCGTTCAGTGAAGCCGTAGTGGTCCAGCTCGAGCTCCTTGGGCTTGTTGTAGCCGAACGCCTCAGCTTCGCCGCGGATGCCAAGGGGATCGATCTTGGCCTTGTGGTGACCACGAGCCTGGTAGGCGCGGACCAGCAGCTGGACCTTCAGGTGATTAGTGACATCGGTACCGGCCGCGAAAGACAAGCCCTCGCCGGGCATCTCTTGCGGGACACCGCCGGTAGGGGTGGGAACCAGGGTCGGAGGAGGCTGGAAAGCCTGGGAGACGGGCATTTTACCCTCTTCCATGTTCTTGAAATACGTCTGCCACGAGATGTGGACGCTGGAGGGATCCCGCTTCCATGCGACGTACATCTCGTCGATGTAGTTGGCGGTGTTTCCGGAGAGGAAAGAGTCATTGGCATCCTAGACGCGCCAAAAGTGCGAACGTCAGTCGAAGCCGATTCAGATCAAGAACATCATCTGCGCAGGGATTTGCTTACCACACCCTCCGCGGACGCGGCATAATGCCTCTTGTTGGACAAGCGGTCGACAAGGGCGAGAGGACGTCTGGTGGTCAGGCCAAGTTTTGAGCTGCGGTTGGCAGCAGATCTGGCAGTGGATGCAAGAGAGAGAGACCTCCTGCAGGAAGAGCAGGCAGGACCGCGCAGCATACCGCCGCTGGTCGCCTTGACGGCTGTGGTACGAAACATGGCGGCAATTTTTCTAATGCGTAACACGAGCTGGAATCTAATGCTTTAAGCTCAACGATGGAGATGCGAAGGAGATCAACGACACAGCGGATGATCTCGAGAACTAGAATACAGAGGAATCGCAGTCAGTCCGACGGTGAGCGGGTTCGCAAGCTGCGGGATTTTTCAGACGGATGAAAGGAACACGCACGGTGTTAGCTGGACGAGGAAAACACAGGTGTCGACTATGATTGCCGTAGCACCTGTAATAAAACGGGACTCATCAGAGAGCCGAAGCACTCTCTTGAACAAAGAATTAGTGGAGAGGAGAAGGGAATAGAGGAGAACCTCGTTCTATGGGGGCGAGGAGAGAGGAGATGGAATGGAGATTGGCCTGGGAGGAACGGAACGAGAGAGGTTTGCCGAGATCTACGGCTATGACGGCCAGCGCAGCTGTGGCTGACCCCCTTTGCCAGGCCTGCAGGCGGCGTCGCCACAGCTGAGTCAAGCCGTGCCCTGCAACCGAGAAAACCACGGCGGGCCGAGCATCCCGGTTGCGGGTAACTGGCTCAGAGGCGTGCACCGCCACAGCCCGGTTATGACCATTTCCCGCTCCGGGTTTTTGCGGGTGGGCACGTGGTCCAATCACCCTCGGGTTGATTCCATGTACATACTATCTAGGTAGTATGTCGCACAACGTAGTATGAAGGGGCTGTCATTCCCCTGGATCCCAGGGTCTGGACACGTTCGGGATATGCGTGCAGATTACAACCCATCCCCCCTCGCAGCATGTCAAGAGGCCCAACGGGCACCCGATTGATTCCCTCCCAAGCTGTATATGCAACATAAATAACCCAACATCCAATCATCAAATCATAACAGTACAAGTCGCTGCGGTCTGGCAGTGAAGCATTATATATCAGGCATTACGATCATTATATCTCAGACCCAAGAACCCCTTATGTAACAATTCCAGATGGTATATACTCTCCCCCTCTTCTCGGTTGGTATATCCAACCTTTCCCGGGACCGATCTGCGGCTGGTCACATGCATGCCCTTCTGACTACTTGCCAGCTCGGGCGCATATGACCGATCGACCCCTGTCGTTTTGGTTGCAGATCTATGGCTCCCTCTCACCCGCTGGCGACTGTCCCACACGCTGCTCCAGAGCGTGCTGGGACCACCGGAACTTGTCAGATTCCCTGATGGGGGACTCTGTCGCACTGCCAAACGCATCCGGCGGCGTGGTATATACCGTTGGGCTGGCGTCGGAAATGAAGCTCGCCCGGTTTGACGACGAGTGTAAATATGGAGGAGGACTGCCACTGCCGCTACGGAGGCTCCCATTGCTTCCGCCCCAGGCACCACGTCGAAGCTTCATCAGTGCACTCAAAGACATCTCGTCGTCCATGGCACCAAGGTCCACGAGCTGAGCCAAGCCAGGGCTGGCGATGGGGTTGGAATGGGCGGCACCGTGGGCTGAGAGCGAGATGACCGAGTTGCGTGTGCTCCATTCACTGCGTTCCGTGATGGGGGTCAGGCTTGGCTCGCGGAATTTCCCCCGACTGCTGAAGCTGCGAGAAATGCCCTCGACGCCTCGTGGACCGAAGTAGCCACCATTGGTGAGTTCGGCGTTGCAGCCCCCATGTGATTGCGCATAGAATCCAAATTCTTGACCATAGAATCCCTCGTCATCATTTTCCAAGGCTTCCGCGTTCGCTGCAGCAATGATAGGGTCGTCGAAATATGCAGCATCGTTATCATCGTAGCTGAAATCCTCAAACGCTTCTTCGAAACCAACCATGTCGACCGTCTGGCTCAAGCGGCTATCATCTGAAATGAGCCCCGAAGGGCTGTCTATTGTTTGGGCAGAGCTCTCTTGACCTAGTGACCGCTCGCTGACGCTGACTACACGTCCAAACCTGTCATTTGTGGCTGCTTCACTGGCGGCTTGAGCCAAAGCATTGTGGAAAGCTTCGAGGTTGTGCTCGGACAGCACCCCACCATGAGCTTTTGCGGACCCTAAGTTAGGCAAGCTCTCACGAGTATGACCGTAGGCTCTGATCGACCCTTTTCGATAGTCGCTTGCCATGCTAGGAACGTGCCTAAGACCGCCATCATCTGACTCTAGTACAGAATCGTCAGGCTCGGCAGTGACGTCCAGCGAATTATGATCCCGGCTGTCCAGCTGCGCAGGCTCAGGAACAGGTTGTTGAGCCGCCGGTTTTCGATCGTAAAGGTGACTTGTCTCATCGTCAAAAATTGACTCGTCAAATTTGTCGCCCGCGTCTTCCGTAGACAGATCACCGAACTCCCCATCGTCGAAGTACAGATCGTCGTCGTCTTCCATCGGCTGCGAGGCCTGAGGATGTAAGTCTACGGTGACCTGTGGAATATTATTGGGATTCGTTGCCACTGATAATGATTGAATATCGGTTGCAATATCAGAGACAACAGGTTCGGATACGGGTAGAGGTTCTGGGTTGTCTGCCAAGGACCCCTGAGCCGATTCCTGCAAGTCCTGCAGGTCCTGCATGTCCTGCATATCTTGTATATCTTGAGAGTCCGTCAACCCAGGAGGAAGGGGACTAGCAAGGATTGGCGAGAGGCTGGGCGCAAACCAGGATTTGTTAAGTGCATTTCCCGGGCCAGAGAAGCCGGCGAACTCATCGTCCTCATCAGCGTCGACATTGACACCTGGAATCTTCTCTTCAAAGTCATCCATATCGTCAAACATATCATCATCATAGTCGTCCTCGCCATCGCTGAGACCTATGCCTTCCATTCGTGCCTTGGCCCTTCTTGCGGCCTCCTTTTCCTTATGTTTCTCTTCCAATAATTTCTCCTGAGTGGAGGATTCGACGCCATTCATGTCAAAACTGAACCGGGAGGCGTTGCTCTTGAGATGTTTAGGCAAGCCGGATGACTGATGTGGTATAACCTCGATCGTGTCGGCATCTTGTATACTTGCGGTTCCGATGTTACTGGGGAGGTTGTGCTGGTCGTCTTGGTTAGGCGTTGCCTGGTCGCTTGGTGACACAGAGGGCCCGGCTTGATCCGGTAGCTTGGAGGGTAATCTCCTTGCAAACACAGGAAGTGCGCTGGGGTCATTCTCGGCATGAGACTGCTCTGTCAGCAACGAGGACTGCAGATATGCTTTGCTCTCAACCTGCAACACCTTTTGATCTTCCTCAAAGTGTTCCCTGAAGACAGGGGAGTACTGTGTATGGCGTTTCTTTTGCTCGCCTATTTGGGCAGTTTGGTCATGGCCGTGCACAGAATTCCCATTTCCTGTGTAGGCTGCATCGGGTGGGCCGGATTGGTTGTTGACATCATGCCAAAGAACAGGTGCCGTGGACAGGTTGCGACGGGGACGGGGAGCAGAGAAGTCATGAACGATATTGCCGCGGATTCTGGGATCATAGTCGTCTGGGATAGCAGGGACTATATTGCGGGCGCGGATGCTCGTATCCTCCATCCGCAGGCTGGCCAGGTTGGAAGAACGCCTCCTGGCCAACAGAGACATCGGGTTCAGCAGGTGAAGCCGGGTCTTCCCGAGTTTGTGATGAGCGTGTTCCGTAGACCCATCCCGGTCTGCAGACCGGCGACCGTTTGCATTTTCACCTTTGTATTCCTTGTCCTTGTGTGACGGGATTGTTGTCTTGTCCGCTGGGGAAATATCTGGAGAGGTCCTGAACCGGAAATGACCGGACGACGACAGACCGGGAGTCGATGAGCGTTTGGTATAGTGGTCGGAAGTGAGATTGTGCGAGCTCAGCAGATTTTTGCCCAAGGACAGTCGAAACGGGGAGCTCGGTTTGGGCGAATCACCGTCGCCATGATCTGAGCGCGGCGCGGCAAAGGATGACTGCGAGTAGTTCAACTGGGAGGCGATGGTTGAGTCTTCGTGCTCATCGGGGGTTGAATGGGGTTGAGCGTGGCTTTCGGACGAGGGCACCGTGAGATTCGCAAGATTCGTTAAAGAGGAGCCTGGCGCATTGGTGGGGGTAACGGATATGGCGATGTTTCTTTTCGCAGCATCGGATTCCCCTTGAGGGTTGATCGGAACTTCCACGGACGATCCCCCAAGCGCCGCGAGAGCGGTCTTCGTGTTCGGCAGTATAGGCAGTTGAGGAGGATTGCTTGCGACCGATCCTTTGGAGGTGGGCTGTAAGGAGGGCGAGACGGGGGAAGCACTCGATCGGCGGTGCTCGCGACGCCAGTAGGAGAACACGGTGGAGGGGGGCATGGTGAAAATGAGCTCGAAGCACCCAGGGTGCGTGCGAGCAGGCGTTCAGGATGCGAAAACCTGGCCCATTGTTCTGATGGTCGCAATGCTTGGTCGGTCGCCCACACAATAATGACAGAGCTCTGCGGAGTAGAAGAAGAAGATCAAGGTTGCGGCGTGGGGCAATGTCTCACCCGGCGACGATGGTGGACCAATCCCAGGGCAGTGCGCTGGAAATTCGAGACGGAGGTTTAATGACTGATTCTGAAAGGCGATCAGGTTCAAGAAAGGATCGTCATGAATAGGAATAGACTACCAATGGTGGGCGATGCTTGGGGGGAGGATAATGTAGGGGATGGCGCTTGATGGGGGGAGATAAGAAAAAGGCCGAAGGGGGGGAAAGGAAGGAAAAGCAAGAGAACAAACAGCCAAGCCAGAGACCGTCAGGAACGGATCGGCCCAGCAGGAATGCCTGCCCGGAAACGGACAAGCCTGGAATAGCCTGGGACGCGGATATATTTAGTGCAGTCCTTTCATCCCTCAAGTAATAATAGAACTATATTAATTATTAACACTAAGAATAATGACGACAATCGTGGAATAACCCCAACCATCTTCTGGATCCCCCAGGGACGATCCTTCCACCGGCATCTCTCCAGGTTGCATACACCTACAGCGCACCCTCGAATCAAAACGCTCACCGATCGTCCAGGGCGTGCAAAGATCCTCACTATGACGGGGTGAAAATGGTAAGACCTGCATGCTACCAGACAACCTAGACTAGAAAAGTTCGCTAATTTGAAACTTATGCTTCCTCGCCCCTATGCTAACAAGATACAACAAGATACGCTAAACCTGGTAGATATACCGCGCAAGTAATTGACCAAACAGACAAGAAGAAATCTTTCAGAGAAACGCCCAAAGCAACGAGAACAGGAATAAGGAGGTGATCGTAAAGGGTCTAGACGATGCTCTGTCGCCAACGGTCGATCATTTCCCGCTGCCCCGATTCAACCACTGGCCGCACGACCTTGGACTTGTTCGGCACAGCATAGCTGAGATGCTTCATGCCTAGTAGCGCATCGCTGTAGAACGTGTTGGGGTGTACCATCCCGGGGCCGTAAGGAACGGTGCCTGCAGCCCCTTGATGCGGTGGGTATCCTGCAGCCGGGGAACTAAATTTCGACGGAAACTGTTGAAGAGACATCCGATGGTCCAGAGTGCGTTGCTGCCCGGGTTGAGGTGCTGCAGCATCAATCGTCGACTGCCGTCCGGTTGTGGTAGGACGCCGCGCGTGAAGGATGTCTGCCATACTCCTTCGGTACCGAGGGATCTTAAATGTGGAATTCTGTCGTGCCTCAGTCTCAGCCTCCTTCTGGAGGCGAGCGCGCCGCTGGGCTAGAGTTTCATCTTCTGGCGCGATTTCCTTCTCCTGAGTTGCCGCATCCTCCCCAACGTGGTTGATCTCGGCCAAGATCTCATTCGCGAATTCGCTGTCCGAGCCTGCACTGGGCTGGTCTTTGGCTTTCAGTCGCTTTAGACGTTGGGCCAAAGTTTCTCCTTCGTCACCACTATCTTCTGGCTCCACAGTATCCTGCGCTCCCGTCGAATACATGGTAACCGGGCGTATTTCGGGGCTGCGCGGTGGGGGATCACCTCGGAGCCTGGCACGACGCCTACTTAGGGGCTCGGACTCCTCCAGCTCCCTTCTCTCCATCAGCCCCAATGGACGTACTTCGTTAACGACATTGGCATTTTCCGGAAACAACATGCCTAGAGGCACGTCATCATCATCCTCGGCTTCCGGGTTGTGAGCATCTGGACCTTCCCAAGCCAAGGTAACGGGTCTCTGTCGTCGATGTTCACTCTGCTTCTGCGCCACCGCTTCCAGCTGGAGAAGAGTCGAGTGTAACCCGGCAGATTCTGGCGCTGTTCGCTGTCGTTGCTTTAGTTGGCTCTTTCTGAATTCAAGCTCCGCTAGTAGCGTGTTGGGTGGCCCGGTGTAATCGGCATCCGGCTCTTCAAGATTGTGCCCTTCTCCATCGGCTTCAGGAGCGTCCCCAGCGCCAACAGGACCACCAATCCCATCATGGGCGTCATCCCGTAGTGACGTGCCTTCATGAACATCTGCAGCATCGCCTTCTGTTTGGTTATAGAAGCGACCCGATGTCAGGGGAATCTCTTTGAGATCCGGGTCGGAAAGGTGATGGTCGAACCCAAGCATACTTCCGGCCGTGAGCGTCTTCCGCTGGTCGGTTAAGTCCCTGGAGGACAGCTTGCGTGATGCCTGACCATACCCTCTCGAATCGGCTTGCCCCGTGAAGGCACTGACGGGGGCATGTGTCGAGGCATCGAGGATGCTGTCTAGTGTCGCCACCGCTGAAGCATGCGTGACCTCTACATCAACAGAGGGAGCTGGCTGATCGAAGAAGACACTTGCGCGCAGCTGCGGGGGGATGCTTGTTGGCTGATTGTTGCGTCTTGCCTCGCCATTATCGACTGGATCTTGGGCAGCAAGCAGCGCCGACTTGCGATTTTCAGCAGCGACTGCACCAAGGAGCTGCGTGCGACGCTTGTCGCGTTGCGTGCTGTTCCTCTGCGATAAACGAGGTGGCAGATTTAACATCCTTGGCACCGGAGCAGGATAGTAAACCATATTCTCGCCTGTCTGCGGCTCCTTGTAGGCTTCGGATCGACTGGCCAGGGGCGGCCTTGTCAGCGACACCCGCCGCGCCAGATTATTCTCATTCGGAACATAATGCACGCCATCAAAGTCATTGAAGAGAACCCGCGCCTGTTGGTATGTATCGGTCGAAGCAGCCGTGTATGTTCTTTCGAGCTCTTCGCCCAGCTCTTGGTCGTAGTAATCCTGCTGGACAAAGTCGTGTTCGCCATGCGCGGCGGGTGGCGGAGGAGGGGGAAGGTAAGGCATCGCAGGAACCCGGGGGATCGAATCGCCATAGTACCGTGCCGGCGCATGCTCTGCCACTTGTGCCAAGCGGGATGCGGACTGGATGGAACCGTGACGGGACGACAGACTCGGTCTGAAGCCGTCGTGATTGCTGGCATGGGTGGAGTTGGAGGCCGAACTAGACGACCGGCGCTTTTGTTCTTGGTCCATCTTGCGAATCTCGTTTCCGATATTGGAACTCAGGCTCATGCGTTCGGCGCTCCTCTCGAGCCGCTCTACATTATTGAGATAGGCACCTTGCAGCGACTGGAGATCGGGGGTAGGGTGACTGAGGGGCACGGGTTGATCGGTGACGGGGGTCCGCAGGGTCGGTTCAGGGGTGGTCGTAGAACTAGCCTGAGGGACTGTCTTTAGCGGAGGGACGTAACGGGGACTATTGGAACTGTGGTTCGCTGAAGGATCGGCGGGCATTTCGTAGTCATCCTCCTCCACCATATCATAGCTGGTGGAGGTCATGGACCGGATCATGGAGCCCAATCTTTTGATGCCAGAGTCCTCGGCCGACTTGGCGGGCTGTAGGTAGGAGCCCGCCCCGATATGGTCGGCATCCAAGGGCAGCTGCTCGAAGAGGCCATTATTGTGCTGGGGCTGCGGTGAAGGACTGCGGGAATGGTCCGAGTCGGTCGCGTTGGAAGCCACCTCGTGGTCGGCCTGGGAAACGGCGTTGTAGGCCATCGTTGGCGGTCACTGAAGCAATAAATGCGCGGCCGAGGGCCGTTCAGGGAAAGAGGCCTTGCCCGGGGGGTGGTGGTGGCCGTGAAAGAGGGGGTAAATGAATCAATGGTCAGCCGCGGCGTTTCAATCGGTGCAAACCTAAGATAAGGGAAATGCGCCCATGCGGGATGGCGCTCTTGCTCAGAACGACGCGATCACGGAGATGAAGCCAGGACCGTGAGGAAGGGAGAGGGAAGAAAGCAGGAGGAGAAGAAAAAGCTGCAAGGCACAGCTGAAGAGGGCGCCAACAAAAATCCAGGTGTCATTGTCGGTGGTTTGTCCTGTTGCTCCTTCCCTGCGCAAATTAATTAAATTTCACGTATGGTATGGGGCGGGTATGAGCAGGTAAGGTATGGGGTTACTCGCCGAGGCCCTGTATTGGCCGGGCACTGCGTTGCTAATTTTGGACCCAGCAAAAGAGCCTGGACCGCCCTCGGTGGCCCGCTTTGGGACTTCCGCCTTGTTTGCAGTGCCCCATTACTTCTGCTACTTAGGTCGTAGTCCGCCGTCGTGTGGATTTGACACTTTACAGCCAGGAACCAGGTCGGACTCACTCCCATACCACAGTCGGATCAGCCTACAGAGAGGGAAGGTAGTATTCCAGGTATTTCCGACCCCAGACCTCCGCAGGTTAACGCATTCACCAGGGTCTGTTCGACTGATCTGTAGCAGCGTTGGTTGATGCCGCTCAGGTCACACCGCATTCAATCGTACCTATGTCTACCTGCCGGCGGCTGTCTCTCAATACCACAATGCAACGGCTGTGAGGAGGGGTCGAGTGGCTTCGGCCAGGGGAGCATACACGGTGTGTCTCTCGATCTACCTATCTTAATACCTTAAGCGTCACCAACATCTCCATTCGGTGGGCGCTGTTGATCTGTTTGTTCCTGTATACTCCGTACAGGACGGTAATTTTCCGGTCTCACTCGAACAAGGGTCCTGCTTAGTCACCAGACATACTTGCCTATCTGGGTAGCTGCTCGCCTGGTCTGCTCCTCCGAGTCAAACATCCAGTCATCCCTGACTCCCCCTGGGGTCGACACGTCGACTTTACGAGAACCGATCTGACGAAGATGGATGGTTTCTGATGAGGCCAATATTCTTGCGTTATTGTTGTAACGGTATACGCGGAAGAAGAAAGAAATCAACGACGTCATCCCACCAACTAGCGGACTAAATACCGAGACCAAGGCAGGAGGACGCTAATTCTGCAGCGGCGCTCCAATCAATCACTATGTCAACGTTGGTTATATCCGTCATATCCAGCCAACATAGCGTGGATGCACAATATGTCTTGGCTCGTCCATGTCATAAAGAAAGATATATATCCTCGGGCGTATGATTATAGCCACCGCTTCTTGATGTTGGAGAGTCTTTGTTGATCACTTGGTATCCTAACATCAAATCCCGGGATATGTATGTTGACTTTAGGGATAACCAACACTGCTTTCCGCTGGTCTTACCTCTCTAGCAAAGACCATAAATTACACCATCGCATATCTAAAAGGATTCAAACATATACCGACAGCATAAGTGATGGGCTGAACCGCACTTTATAATCACAGACAAGAAGCAGTGAAGGAAAAATCACTAACGGCAGATCTCAATCTACCTCCAACGGACCTCACATAGATCTAAGACAATCTAGCGATCAAGTGAGACGAAGGGATGTGCCCCAACTCAACTCGGAAATGTCTTCCTGAAATAGCAACCAATGCTATATAGTTTGCAGATCGGGTCGGTATGTAGGCTATTAGCTATTATGCTGATCATATCCCCGTCTTCAGGCCGGGAATGGGCGCCGATGATCAGCAACCAAGATCACCAATGCATCTGGATGCCTTGGAGATATGCTGTGCTGTAATTTTTTTTTGATTCAACGTCATGCTGCGAGTCATCTATCAAGACGTGCATCTCCGCTTAGTAGATTATTTAGTTTGCCGTGTGTGTTCTCAGCTCTGGAGTGGTTGTGTCCAGGCCAGTTCCTGAGTGTCAGTGACGCACGACCGTCATCTCTTAATGAGACGTTACGTTATCCGCTGAGAATGAAATTCATAACAGCAGAACTGTATGATGGTTATTTACAACAGAATAGGAAGCAACCAATAACGTTCTTGATAAGATCAAAGACAAAAAAGACACATATACCCATTTTAATAATTTAAACACATGCTTCTCACCCAAAGCCAAGTAAAAGGAAAGTTCCTACCCCCGCAACACAGCCCTAAACGCCCCCAACAAATCAATCCTCAAATCCTCCCAATTCTCCAACCCAATACTAACCCTCAACAATTTCCGATCGACCCTCGAATCCGACAACGCCCGCCATTCAATCAACGACTCCACGCCTCCAAGACTAGTCGCATGTTGAAACAAAGCCAACTGACTCGGTAACCGACGCGCATAATCCTCATTCTGCAACACGATTGAAAAAACAGGCCCAAACCCATTCGGCATCTGCTTCCGAACCCACGGTTCATCTTGCACACTGGTATGATAGATCTTGTGCAGAACAGATTGAACAGCATGCTCGTTACTCCCAGAAGCAGAAGATGGAGTGTCTAAAGCTTGCTGAAGCCAGGCAACAAGCCTCCCACACCCCTGACTCGCTCGCTGCACCCGCACCTCCAATGTACGCAGACTACGAAGACCAAGCCATGCCTCCATGTTCCCGATAATACTCCCCAACGCCATTCGATCTTCGAAGAGCTGTTTCTTCCAGTCATCGCGCTGCGTAGCGAGCACGCCACAGAGGAGATCACTATGGCCGCCGAAGTACTTCGACCCGGAGTGTAGAACGAGATCCGCGCCCCAGACGAACGGGTCCTGGAGACCCGGAGGTCCGAATGTACTATCGACGATGAGGTAGGCGCCTCGGGAGTGGGCCTTTTGGGCGTATTCTTCGATGCTGAAGGAGGTTCCGAGAGGGTTGATGGGGGTTTCGAGGAGGATGACGTCGCCTTTGTGGAGGCTGTCGGCGGGACAGTCGAGGGGGAGTTTTTCGAGGCCGGAGAGTCGCGAGATGATGGAGATGACTTCATGGCTGCCGTGGTAGCCTTCGCCGACGGATATGCGGCGGGGGTTTAGTAGGACTAGGGCGGCTTGGAGGGCGGCTAGGCCGGTCGAGTAGCTGATGGCATGGCCGTGGAGGAGAGATGAAAGAACGGCTTCAAAGCGGGTGGAGTTGGGGGCGAATTCGCGGGAGTAGATGAAGTTTTTGCCGTCGAACTCTTCCTGGGATGATGTTAGTTGGGGTTGAAATGAGGGACATGGCAGTGGCATACCACGGGGTCGACGGACAGAACTAGACTGTCGGGGTCATCCGGGTATCTGAACGTGGTAGACATATGAATTGGAGGCGCAACATCCGTGACCCGGGTGAGGGAATCATCTGCATGCAATGCCCGGGTTGCGGGGTGAAGGGATGGTGCCATGGTGTTGACTGGAAGTTTGTGAACTGTGATCGTAGAGTTCAGAATCAATGCAAGAAAAAAGATCCGAGATGAGGATTGAACTCCCTTAAACAGTCTGCTACCTGGGCAAAGAACACAGTTTGCATCGACTGCTCCATTCTATACTGCCATGTCTATGCTTGTTCTGGAGATGCTGCCCCACTCCCCTCAAGTTCCTAAACCGGCAAGTTCCTGGAGAAGACGATGTTTTCTATTGGCCTGCGCCACCTAGCCCTGCCCTAGCCGTTGTCAGCTAGTGCAAAAGGAGACTAGTTCCGCTCCCGTACATTGTAAATGGAAGTGGTTGATTGGCTAGTCAATGCCTGTCTTAAAAGTCTTTGCAGCGAAGGAAACGTGTGAGCCCGTCCTTGTGGCAACCCCGTGGTTCTTGCGGGTACCTGACCATGTCATTTTACGGTGTACGATATCGCCTACGCACTGGGCAGCCCGTACGCCCTTCCTTCAACAATGACCCCACCAGGTTCACATTTCCTCGGAGAAGCCAAAAGACCAATTCTGGGCCTCAGCCTGGAGGTCTACCGATCTAGGTAATCGGTTCAATCCCTCGGCGTGATCCTCCAATCAGCGTACTTCTGATGCGCTGACTCAAACCAATGGATATCAACCTATCGCAAGTATGACTCGTCGGCCAACAGACTATAAGAAGCTGACCTTCTCTGCTACATATCATCCACATCACCATTCATCTATACCTCTAACCATCTATCAGAGACACCGCAACACCATGTACCTCCGCGCTATCTACGCCGAATCCCACCTCCCCACCCTCCACCAACTCATCCGCGAAAACCCCCTAGGCATCATCACCACAGCAATCAAATCCCCTCTCTACCCGCTCCTCCAATCCAGCCACATCCCATTCATCCTCGACGTCCCCGACACCCCAGACGGGACAATCCCCAATGGCACCCTACGCGGGCACATGGCCAAGCAAAACCCCCAAGCCAAGGCCCTAATGGAAGCTCTCGCCGCCCAGCAAGCCACCGGCGAAACCTCTCTCGAACTTGAAGACGAAGTTATGGTGCTGTTCACCGCAGCACCCCACCACTACGTCACACCGAAGTTCTATACCGAGACGAAGCCGGCAACGGGCAAGGTCGCGCCGACGTGGAACTATGCTGCTGCGCAGGCGTACGGCAAGGTGCGGATATACTGTGACTCGAAGGCCGAGGAAACGGGTGCCTTTCTGCAGAGGGCTGTGGAGGATTTAACTGACCAGAGCGAGTCATCGATTATGGGGTATACGGGGACGGAGGGGCGGCCGGGGCCGTGGAAGGTTTCGGATGCGCCGGTGTCATATGTGGAGATTTTGAAGAAGAATATTATTGGGATTGAGATTCGGATTGAGCGGTTGGAGGGGAAGTTTAAGATGAGTCAGGATAAGAGGGAGGGGGATCGCGAGGGGATTGTTGATGGGTTGGAGAGTTTGGGAAATGAGGTTGGGAGGGAGGTTGCAAGGATGGTGAGGGAGCGGGGGGCGCTGAAGGATGGGCAGAAGTAGATCCTTGTTATATGGAAGGTTTATGGGTTTTGGTATATTTACCCTGTGAATCCGATAGACGTCTTCGGATACGTAGGGAGCCATGTGTAGCGCAAGCATATCACTTCCAAAACAGTTCAAGTATTTGCAGTATCTTCCCACAAACAAAGAAGCACATCCACAACATGTGCTCTTTTTTATCGGGCGAGTCCGTAACGCAATGTTGTCACCCAAGCCACATGAAGACAGACCATTCTTCATTTGACTCTGGTAACCTCGATCTCGTCCTGCGAAGAAAACACACAATTAGCCTAGCCACATAGGCAACTATAACGGGGCAAAGGATACCCACATCTGCATCTCCCGGAACAATCAGACTCTTCAACCCCCAGCTTTCATACTTCGGACTCCCACGAACATACTCACGGTAAGCCGGCGCACCCGGCCGCACCACATTATCCGCCAGAACCAGCGCACCGGAGTGCAGAAAGCCAAGCTGATCCGACACCTCCAAATCCGATACATAAAGGTCCTCCACATGATCGAGAAACAAAACATCGACCTTGGGGAGCTTCCCCTCCGCACTAAGACGCTTGAGCGAATCGGCAGCAGGGCCGACAACAACCTTGATAATGTCGCTCAGGCCCACCAGGTCGATAAAGTTCATGGCAATCGATGCAATGAGAGGGTCGGCCTCAAGGCTCCACACGCGGAGTGCTGTCGAAGTTCCCTTGGCTGTCTGCCGCATGGTGTCTGCGAACAAGATGGCAGAGTAGCCGAGATAGCCCCCCAGCTCGACGACGACTTGGGGCCTTTCATCGGCAAGGATCTTGACAAGCTTGTCGGCCTTGTCGGGACCAATGCTGATAAGGAAGTCTTCTTTGGCGGCGAATTCGTCCATGAGGTTGAGTAAAGCCGACGGGGAGTCACGGATTTGCGGCAGGGAGGGGTGGGAGTAGATGTGTTTCAACAAGGTAATTTCACGGCCATCGTGGGATTCTTGGTAGCCGTCGGTCTCGAACTTGCGAAGAGAGGGGTATTTCTCATAGATCTGTTCCATGGTGGATGGTTTCTTGGCAGGGAAGTATAGGGAGAGGGAAGAAAAGAGGGGCAATTGCTTATGTCGAACGACAGCGGGTTTCCGCAGACTTATATAGTCGGCCACATCTTGCTGACACTAGGAGAGAAACCGGAGACCGAGTCAAGGTGACAATATGGACTTTGATGAATAGAGTGTGCGATATGCTGAGTGGCTTACCGATAAGCCCAGATGCGCGCCATCCCGCCCAGGACGCGCTCTGATTGGGTGCCGGGTGACATCGGCGGGCATCTTCTCGTCCCTCCGCCGGCCTCTTCTTCCGTCTCTCATCTCGCCGCAGGTTTCATCAGGACCGCGTCATACGGCCTACTTCTTCCGCCTCTATCTCATAGGTCCACTGTGATTGCTTGTTGCACTGTTTATGGGGGATGGCTGTTTGAGCTACGTGCGAGGGATTGTGCTCTTGCCACCCAGGGACAAGTCGGCATAAGTGGGATGGAGAACCCTTGCTATACTTGTCGCCGGCGGCGGATTCGTTGCGATCAGTCTGGTTCGCCATGTGCAAAATGCACAAACAGTGGGTTGCAATGCTTTGCTTCCAGACCCCTCAGATGGGTTGCTGGCGTGGCAATACGAGGGAAGATGCGGGGCGTTTCATTTGAAAGCGCAGATGGTCGAAACGAATCCGGGCCAAAGGATGGCCATCCTGCACTAGGGGCAGAGTCTGCTCTTACTGTGGGTCCTCCCGAACGTGACGGTAAGCATGGTGCACGATTGAACTAGCATGGTTGCCTAGAAAGTTGCTAACATGGATCAGTAATTCCTATGAAACCTGTCATTAGCGTACCTCCGAGCATAGGCGATTTTGCCGTTTCGGACCTGGATCCGGTCTCTAGATACTACCTCGACTATTGTCAGTTTACTGGACTGAGCCCCAAAGCTTGTCTAAAAGCTTGTCTAACATAGACCTAGATAACGATAGCATATGCAAGCTCTTCATAGTATACGACAGCGAGAAGAACCCGTTCAGGGCTCTGATATCCCTCTCGTTACTCGACCAGACTCTGCTCAAGTCTGTATTGGCTCTTGCAGCACGACACAGAGCCAATAGAGAGCGTTCATTTCATGATCTCACCATCCAATTATCGCCCGAGCGGACAAATGCTCATATAAATGCGCTTCGTTTCAAGTATCAAGCTATACAAGGGATCTCACAAGCCTTGGGCGATGCGACAGGACAGCGGAAGGATACAACGGTGGCTAGTATCTTCCTGCTGATATTTCTGGATCTTCTGGAGTCAGGCAGTGATCGATGGAATGTTCATCTAGAAGGTGCCAAGCGGTTGATGGATTCAAGTCTACCCGAGCCTGGTTCCCGGCTTGATCCGGGACGGACTATTCAGGAGATCCGTAATTTTCTCGCCAGTCAAATTTACTCGTGAGTATTGCAGTTAGAGAGCTGATGATGTGGCTGATGGGTTTTATCACATAGGATTGAAACCCTGGGAGGGACCTTTGTACGCCCTAAACTGTTATCACAGTTTGATCTGCTCCGGGGTCCACAGTTTCAGGAGACAGTTGAGCAATCATTCCTTGGGTGTCCAGAATACCTACTGGATGCGATTAGATATCTTTCAGCACGGAGGGACGCAATAATGGGCCTGGAACACCATGATCGCCATGATACCTCTATCTTCAGCTACTACGTTGAGAATACCGTGACGATGATCGAATTCATACAACATTTTGATTGTTCTGTATGGGCAACGTCTCTACTTCAACTAAATACAACGGGTACCGGAGATATACGTCCTCTTTGCATGTTGGCACGGACGTACCAGATTGGGGCTTTGATATACGGCAAGCGTGTTCTTGGGGCTCTTACTAAGGAATGTCTGCCACTGGAGGATCTGGTGCAAGAGCTGATCGACGCGATCAGCAGCTTGCAAGATAATCAGGCTGTCTACAAATGTCTTCTCTGGCCTCTCTGCATTGCTGGTCTTGAATGTCACCAGCAACAGCAAAGGGAATCCATACTGAGATATATGGAAAAGTTCTGGGACTGTACCAGTTGTATCAACGCGATAAATGCCGCTGACATCATCAAGGATTACTGGAAGCAGAATGATGGCGCATTGCCACAATGGATCTTCTCCATTGGCCACCTGGGCCGTGACTGGCTTTTGATCTGATGCTGGCCTGAGATGGATCTGAATGTTTTCGTGGAACTACTGCATAAGCTACCTCCACGATGTCTCAGGCGTGGTAGTTTCAAGTAGGGCAGTATATCATTATTCTGCTCGGAAAAGCGCCAGACTCATACTAGGAAGCTCTCGAGCGGTCGATTATGGGGTTTAGAGAAACCCTGATCGAAGCATTCCTTGAGGCTACCACGGCATCTTAGTCATGCCTCGGGAGCAGGGGTGTTATCGGCCACTCCGAAGTCTCGGACCTTATCCTATCGACCCCTCACGCCTCACTCACACTAGCATCGTTAACGCCCAGGCCAAGCGACATGATCGATTTCCTTACCTTAACGCACTTACAGCTCTCAACCCAGCCCTTCATCTAGCAGCAAGATGCCTGTCTCTCAAACTTACGACGTGACCATCGTCGGCGGCGGTCCCGTCGGTCTCCTCCTGGCCTATCAGCTCACCCGCTTCGGACTCTCCGTCTGCCTTGTGGAAAAGCAGAACAAAAGTAGCCCCGAGGGCCGCTACGGCCGCGCCATCACTCTTTTTCCGCGGACATTGGAACTACTCGATCAATTAGATCTCGTTGGCCCAATGCTTCAGCAGGGATTTGCATGCAGGACCAGTGTTACATATAAAGACGGGGTTAGGCAGTGAGTATCCCCCCATCTCTCTCTCTCATCCTGGAATGCTGCTGATTATGCTATAGATTCCCCGGGAAGGTATGGACATTCATGGAGAAAATCGACGGCACGGTGTTTGATTTTGCACTGGTATTGAGGCAAATGTACACGGAGGAGATTCTGAGGGACAGACTGGATCGGAAGACGACCTATAATGATGGCATGGAATGTGTGGGGTTCGCGGTCAGTCAGGATGGGAGCGAGTATCCGGTGAGTGTGGATTGTGTGGGTGTTGAACGGATGACTTTCAAGAGGTAGTCCTCACTTGATGTTGCTTGGAAGATGCTGATGATGGTAGTAAATATCTCATTGGCGCAGATGGCGGTCACAGTATCATCCGCAGACGTGCCAATATTCCTTTTGATGGGGACTCGTCGGAAGACCAGTGGATCCGGATAGATGGTATTGTTGAGACGAATATGCCGCTTAATCGGTCCTATGGGTGAGTGAGCATGAGCCAATGAGGGATAATGTTGACTGTATAGGGCCATTGAAACGACCACACACGGAAACGTTCTGTGGGCTCCTCTCGACCATGGCGCGACCCGCATTGGTTACGCATACACGCCTGAAATAGCAGCCCTATACCCGGGTGGGGTAAGCGAGAAAGTCGCCATAGACCAAGCCATCGCGTGTATGCGTCCGTTCAATCTGAGGTTCAAAGAGGTACACTGGTGGACATTGTAAGCCATCCCCATCCTCCTGGTAGCCCTACTAATATCTACAGATACCAAATTAGCCAGCGCATGGCCCGCACCTTTGCATCCTACGACAACCGGGTCTTCATCTGCGGTGACGCAGCCCACACTCATAGCAGCGGAGCTGCTCAAGGCTTGAATACCGGGATTCACGACGCCGTGAACCTGGCCTGGAAGCTGGCCCTAGAGATCCATGGCCTATCCCATGCGGAGGTTTTAGACACATACACGACGGAGCGTCAGTCTGCTGTACAGAGACTATTAGACTACGACCGCGACATTTCCCTTTTGATGACGCATAAATGGCCCGCTTGGTACAGGGGTGACACACGTGCAGACCCCAACATCCTCCTCGGGCAGATATTCGACCAGGCTGCGCCGTTCAACACCGGACTGGGCATTTCTTACGAGACCAACGTAATTAATCAGCCTTGGGGTTCTTCGGAGGTCGATGTGGGCGTTCAAGCGGGAACTCGAGCTCCAGATACCGAGTTGACCACGCCCGGGACGTTTCTGCCCGCGCGGCTGCACCAGGTCCTTCGGAATGTGTGCAAGTTCCACGTGCTGGTGTTTTCGGGGGCGAATGTCGACTTGTTTCAATCGAGATTACTGCCTCTACGGGGATATCTGGATACCCATCCTGAACTGCAACGACACCCGGCCATTGCCTGGTTGACGGTGTGTGGGTCCGCCGGGTGTTCGCCGTGGGAGGTGCTGGGGATGCCGGCTTTTGGGGATACCTACTTTGACGCGCGGGGCATCGCGCACCGGGCGTACGAAGTTGATCCGCACAAGGGGGGCGTGGCCGTGATCCGGCCTGATGGGTTGATTGGATTCACCTGTGCGCTGGACGGGGATACCCTGTGGGGATACTTTTCCCGAATCCTGAAGCTAGCATGATACCAACTATCCGTAGCATAAATCCACCCACCCATACTCACTATATACGAAACGCCATATAGCCATGACTGACATGGCGCTGTAGCAACGCACCCACCACCCAGTATATACACCACCCTAACTATCTACTCAAACCCCCTCCTCAAATTCTCAAACCGACTCACCGGATACACCAACGTATTCTCCGTCCCATCCAACCCCCCTATACCCCCCAACATCCCCCCCGTCACCCTCACCAAACTCCTCTCATCCCCCACGGGCAAATCCCCACTCAACTCCCACCACATGGCCCCCCCCAACCGCCGTCCCGCAATATAATCCCCCTTCAACGCCGCCACCTCCACCGAATCAAAACTCACCATCTTCCTCTTCCCCGCATCAAACGACCAACTGGCCCCTAGCCCCGAATCCACCACCACCTCCCCCCTCCCCTCCCCGGACAAATGCTTATAATCCCACACCCCATTCTCCCAAGACCCCTCCCCGACACCCTGGAACGGGTGTCCTGGACCATCGGTATTCTCAAACGCGCGACCATACAACGGCATCCCGAAGATGAGTTTGCGGGGTTTGATACCGCTGGATAGATATGCAGTGATGGCTTCGTCGGCGTTGAAGGGCGTGGCACCAGATCCGGTGGCGGAGCGAGAGGAATACAGATTCGCCATATGCCCCGCCCTCTCATCCCATCTACCCGCGAAATCATAACACATGAGGTTCCAGAAATCGAGATACTGATCCATTTCGCGCATGCGGAGTTTGGTATAGTTACTTGCTCCGCACGGTGCCGCGACGGTGAGTAGTAGCCTCTTTCCCTGGAGATACCTAGTCGCGTAGCGGTCCAATTCGCGACGGGTTTCCTGGAGTAAGAGCACAAAGTCCTGCGCTTGGGCTGCATTCTGGGGATACTCCCAGTCGATGTCGATCCCGTCGAAGCCCAGATCGGCGAGGAGGTGGACGGCGCTCCGGGCGAAGGTTTGGCGGCCGGTGGGGGTGGATGCGGGGAGAGCGAAATTGGGACTGTAGGTCCAGCCGCCGATGGAGAGGAGGGTTTTGAGATGGCGGTGGCGTTTTTTGAGGAGGTAGAGTTGTTTGATGCATCCGTAGACGTTGGTGTCGCCGGGGTCGGACCAGCTGTCGGTTGGGTAGTGCTTTTCGAGGTCCGAGTAGGTGTCGGTTAGGTGGACTTCGCCGGTGGGGCGGATGTTGGCGAAGGAGTCTGTCCTTTGTGGTTAGATTGGGGGATTTGGTGGAGGGGAGAGGAGAAGAGAGTACAGAGGATGTGGGTGATGTAGTCGGCGGGGATGTCTTGGGGTTGGTAGTTGCGGCCGTAGATGCCCTGGTATGGTTAGTTGTTACTGCGAGGGGTTTAAAGAATGGGGAGGGAGTACCCAGTTGGTAAAGTAGCCGACGGTTTTGTAGCCGGGTCGGCCGACATTGATATGCGGAGCCGGTGGACGGGTCATTGCTGGGCGGGGGATTCTTGGTGGGATGGGGGGAGCATGGGATGCATTGGGGGCGGTTGCAGCAGCGCTTGGTGGATAACCACCAACATTGGTGGTGGCAGAACTGGCATAGGGAGTATCACGAGGAGCCTCCGGAATGTCTCGACTCTGTGCCACCTGGGTAGGCTGCTCAGGGCTCGGAATATTCAGTTGTTGCCCCGGATAGATAAGATCCGGGTTGGTGATCTGCGGGTTGGCGGCTTTCAGCGCATCCAGGGTGACCCCGTGGTCTTGCGAGATTTTCCATAGTGAGTCGCCGCTGGCGATAGTGTAGGTGGACATGATGCTTACAGTTGTATATACAGATGAGATGGATTCTGGGTTGGTGGATGTTGTGTTGATATAGCCCGCTATGACACAGCCGCGTGTGGCGCGGGGTCTCACGCTTTGCTGCTTTGGGTTAGGGTACATAGCCCTGTGGTATTTTTAGATTGATGGTATGATGTCATTAGGCAGCATCATAATGTGCTGGTTAACTATGTTATAGAGTGAAATGATTATCAAATATCTATTCTATGTTGGGGTGAAAGCTACTAGTTCGCTGCATCCATTGCAGAACAGGCAACAACCTGGATTGTGTGGAAATTACCCGCTTGGCGGCGTATTGTACAGGATGTAATAGGAACTTTCAGACAAGAGTGTGCAGTTCCTGGCTTCACAAACTGAGAGAAGTTTGATCAGTAGAATGACAGAGAACCTTACCCAGACAGGTTATTCACGACTGAAAAATGTACAGTTGTGGCCAAGTGACGGGTACCCAGATTCACTGGCTAGTGATAGTATTAACATCGCTGTGGTGACAGGTTATCAGGCATAGCATTGGTCTGTTGTTATCACTCCTCTTGTTCACTCACCAACTGGCTCTGTCTGTAAATACCCCTCTTTGCCCTCTCGTTTCCTTTTTCTCTTCTCATCATCCCTCACCTCATCTACCCACCTGGGCCACAGTAGGTCATGGCAGCACTATTCTTCAATTATATATGAGATGACCTTCTCGCAGGCTATCAGCATGTCGACTAGCTTACCATCTCTACGCCTCAAATCCATTGTCTGACGGTCTGTTTCATGGCACTCATCTCTCACATACTGCTGACCTATTAGTGGAGGTTCTGCATCAGCTCTTTCTCCTGCTGTAAGGTCAAACTATGGGGCTTATCACCGCACCCCGCGTGCAACGGGCACAACACGGCCCACCATTTTCAGCCTGTCAACCACTATATCTCAACCATGAGTCTGAACAGCGGCGATTTGCTTGACCCAGAACCCTCCAACAAGAGATTTAGCCATCATGTCAGCATTTCGATGAGAGTGATATAGGGGGGATATAGCATGCGTTACGGCAACTATCGTCCGACCAGCACAAAAGACGCGGCGTTCTTCAAACATCTATACTGAGATGTGTTGGGCATTCTCGATTGTGTGGGCATATATATGATACGAGGACGAATTTGGTCCGACGGAACGAACAGGGTGCCTCTAAGAGCGATGTCAAGAAAGGGTACTGACAGGTGTGGAAAGAATGTACCACGATCGACTACCCAAAATTCACGGATCTCTACGCGGGGCTGCCACTTGAAAGTGAAGATAGGATACTCGGATGGGAAAACGACTGCCTGATGTTACCTGCAGGTAGCGAAACACCTTATGGGGCTGTCCGATGGGCGGCTGTTTATCATCCCATATGTGTAGAGCCTGTCTCTGGATCGAGGAATGAATACAACCAACATGCATTCCATTCCATTGGCTCAGTGTTACCCATCCAAAAAAAAGCAATCCTTTAGAATGGCCTTGTGGCCATTTTCATCGAGAAACTACATTGGAGAGATCCTAAGGTCAAACCGGCGAAGCGACGAGGAAGAACTTAACGACTGCGACAAAGCACTCTACATGTCTGCCACCTTACGACCAGCGCAGACCTCAGAGTGCTACAGAAGTGATTAGCCTGCAATTCACTAGAGCTGTTGTCTATACATGAGAGATGCCCCGAGTCGGGGCCACATAGAATGGGACATGCACGAGAAGCGATGCCTGAGGTGGAAGTCTCGTCGTATTCTGCAAAAAGGCAATGTCGATGGTTTAAGCGATCGGCCACTCTGCATGACGAATGCATGCAAATTCGTCACCTCGGACCTTGACAGCCTCCACACACAGTTTTACAGAAAACACAGAGCCCCTTCATCGAGGAAGAAACTGATAACAATTCAATGCGCGACCATCATAACGCACTGGATGATACTCAGGACGAAGGCTGAGCCAACAATGACACCTGGATACTGCCTGAAGAATACAGATACTCGTGATGTAGAGGCAGTGGAATATGAACCATTCATTACCCGTTGCACAAGGAGGATAAAGCAGGCACCAACTTCAACAGTACAGAACCGCACAGAAGAGCTGTTGAGCTGAAATGCATCCCAAAGCATGGATATCTTCAAGCCATCAAAGTCAAAGTGTGGAAAATTCCCACATCGTTCACTGATCGATTCGTCTAGCTCCTAACAGGCTGAAAGCCGAGGAACTCCCGGTTCTACCGCCAACACTTCTCTCGATCAATGGATGTTCGATAACGCCCAACAATAAGACAGGTTTGATCTGAACCGATGACAGGAAAGAAGAACAGCCCTATATGAACATCACGGGATTTATAGCTGGGTCAAATGACAGTAGATGAGGTCACACCATAAGAATCCAGTGCTTCCAGCAGTGGTACGCCATGCGACCTGAACCACATCTCGTGGTGTGCAGCATATAATGAGAAATATCGGTCAAAGATTCAGCAGCGGCATTGAGTATTCAACATCTAGAGAGTTTGCACTTTCAAAAGCGACGTCTGGAGCGAGTTTAAGCTCTAGTGCTGGTAGGTCCTGGAACCATGATCCACATGTCATCCTTATCATGCTTATGAGAATCCATTGTAACGGCACTTCAAACAGTGCATCACTGACAACGATCGCCGAGTGGTCTGAAGTTCTTGAAGACACACACAACACTCTGTCATCAAATCAAACTAAACGGCATTCCGCCAAAAGAGATTGTCAGTAGACATTCAAACGACGAACATCCCTTTCTCGGGCGGAGAGCGACAAGGGATACGAGTCAGGTCCATCAGATGAGAATGCGCTTGACACTGTCTGCTGTCTGACGCGACGCTCTTTGCACCATCTTCTACGGAAGCTTTCGATTGATAAGCATGCTACAGTCGAGATATTATGCAGTCATACCATGTCCGCTGCGACTAGATTTATCCCCACTTATATCACCTAGAGGGAAGGTTCTTATGTACCACATAAGGTGTGACCAATAGCTGAGGCACAGGACAGTCCCAACATCATCAACTCGGATGGTGGTGCGGGATTGGTAATTATGGCAGCTTCAGCCAGCACGCAATGATCAGAACATCCACCATTGTTGACGATGATTGTTTCGGGAAGAGGCTCACGAGACGAGCTCCTTATTCAACAAAGCACAATGTGGTTGAATACGAGCCGCAGCTTGTATCTGCGTTCTTCTGTCGCTGGGATCCTGACCTCAGCACCTACCTATTCCTTTCCCGATTATCGCTACCGATGCTTCCATCCAACAGACGGATACCATTCTCGAAATACCCATGATATGGTTTAAAGCCTAGCATCGAATCAACTATGTGAGGACAGGAACACTGGCGATACGGCGCGCGGAAAGAATGATAGTACCGAAGGTGTACATCGGATAAATACAACTACAACACCACCATCGCTGTGTGCTACACCGGCTTAAAGCGTCGCAAACGACTGCATTAACCCTCTCCGATCGTCTGTGTTGATCTTCTACTCCACGCCCGGCAAAAGCTAAAGCAAGCGGCAGCTCGGTCCAAGAACCTCCACGGTGCCATACTCCGACGAGCGAACCAGAGCCCTGCTTTCAGCATAGCTAGAAGCAATAAACACCATGAGAGACATGTCGACTTCTATCAGGCTGCCAACAAGATGAATGAAGCAATGACCTATATAATACATCCGGGGCGACTGGATGAACGACCCCAAACGCAGCAAGGCAGGAGTAGATGGCCTTCTCAACACATCCTCCAAGCTACGCGGCTAAGCTCGTGGCTCAGTACATGGTCGCGAGCTTCTATTCCTGCGGCATCAATAAGCTCAGATCTGCCATTTGACGACATTTATCGCCGGAACGCTCAACAAGACGCAGCCAACGACCGAGACTGACTGTTCTCTGTAGAATGTCCCTAGGCGACGTGAAAGTTGATCTGGGTCCCAGTATCTCTGCTACTGCAAGAAATCCCTTAGAGAAGGGCTATGGCCGAGTGTGGTATGAGTGGGGTTGGTGAGAATCACCCTGCGGAAGGGAGGTGGTTTGGGGTGTTGCTATGGGGTTGACTTACATGATGTTCAGTGTCTCAGACTTCTCAGCGTTAAGCATATTACTAGCTATATCAATTATCACTGCACCAACTCCCCCACTGAAAGATGGTAAATTCTTATAAAACCTTCCCAACCAACACCCTAACATACCACAATACCACACCCACTCACGCACGCGCCACCAAGCCAACCCTCCTAAATTCGACAGATTACCCCCGCCCCCCACCACCCAACTTCTTCCCGACAGCCATCCGCACCTACCTATATATCCCAAACCCACTAAAACACACGCAAAGTGGGGTCCAATTCACCGACCCGTCCTCAAACTCAAAGATAGGCACGATAAAAAAATACGACCCGACCAGTCACACCTCTTCAACAATCCCTGACACTTGCTACTAGGTAGAAACTGTACAAAACCTAACCAATCATATCACCACATTAGCAATCATCCTAAGGCAGGGGAAGTGGGAGGGGGGGGGGGGCTCCGTCGTAGCTGATCCGACCCGACCCGGTCCGGTCATTTCGGCCCCAACCCCCAATTACCCCTAGATAGATATTAGATAGATAGATATCGCCATTCACACCTTCATGGGCCCGTGGCCGAGTCATAATTCAGCCCATCAGATAGGTAAGAGGTAGGATCCTAACGCATCGACCACGCCGTCGATCAATCATTCTAGATTCCTGATGGTAAATAACATATCATCTAGCATCTAGCTAAGTACTCTGTACAGAAATCCGAATCAGAGCGGGGTGTTAGTTGCCTAGTATCTCAATCCAGGTAAGGAGTATGTTATATCATATCTGCATCCTCCGCCTGCTCGGGGTTCATTAAGTCATTCTTGTCTGGTTAGACACTACGCTGTAAAGGGATAGATAGTAAAACGGTGGATTGAGCTCGGGCCGTCCGGGGGACTGAATACTGATCAGCCGCTAAGGTAGCTGTGGGAGATGGGGTAGGTTCATTGTTTTGGGGTTAGATGCTTGGTTTGGGGAATCACTAGGAATGGGTTTGTGTGATTCTGTGTGCTTTCTCTTTTTAAATGGAATGATGATATGGTATCTGGCGAGGGTTTGGTTTGGGTGGTTGTTAGTGGTCGTGGTTGATGAGATGAGATCAAATTTGTTCATAGAAATTTGATTGTTCGGGTTGGGGTATTTGAGTCTGAGATTTTGGACTCATCTGGATGGTGTGATTGCTATTATCTCGTAATGATCAAAGCATAGATTATGTACTTGTAGGTTGAAGGTTTTGAGGCTGGGTATATCTGACGGATGGATACAAAATTGTAGTCATGGCTGGGGGCTGGAGATTAAAGAAAAGATAAAATCATGACACGCCTGATAATGCCGCCTGAATTACGGCCAGTTCTGTAACCAGCTCTTGGTATCATGGTACGCTTGAAATGACAGCGAAGTTTCAATCAAAAATATACAGGAGAATGACATGACATGCACGAGCTGCATCCCTCCAATCATCCCTGTAGCTCAGACCTGCTAAGGTACCTTCCATCTGGATCTGCCATCTCAGCTGGGCGATGACCTGAATACAGTTCCACAAGCCTCGTTTGACGGGCACCCTTTGGCGGTGGTGGATACATGTATCCGTTGTTGTAATCCATGACGGGCCTTCGGCGACGTTTGAGCCAGAAAAGCGCAAAGAAATTGATGATTAACAAGGCCCCCACTGCAACGCCAACACCGATTCCTGCCTTTGCTCCCGTGGATAGACCGTTGTTACCTGAGGCGCTCGCTGCCGTTGCCGTCGCGGTCGTCGCGGTCGTGGTGGCCGAGGCCTGCACCATGGTGACGGACGCCCCAGCTGACAATTGTGACGTGGTAGACGAGGTGGTTGTCGAGGCTGTGATCGCGCTGTATTCGCTAGCTTGCTCTGCGTTAAAGGCGACGGTGATGGGTTGAGCCCACATCGTAATGGGGCCCGAGACGACAGTGGTGCATGTTTTGGCAGTATCGTTGCGACAGGGAACAGTCGTTTCTCCGGCAGATGCAGGATACATGCTTAGACATCCAGCAAACACCACGTTGGTAGAGATGAGGTCCCCGACGGTCGTGGGAGTTGTGTAGTAACTGAAGTCTCTATAATTGCGGGCAAGCAGGATCAGCACCCATGAAAGAGTGAAACAGCCATAGTCGAACACTAGATGCGAGACTTACGATATGCAACACACCGCGGTCGTGGCAGTGCCCGCAATGTTCACTTGGGGGGAAGTATATCCTTCCGGGCACCAGTCGGGACTGTAGATGGAGCCATAAGCCACCCGCCCGGCGTTGCCAAACCCGGCGGGGAAGCAGGATGAATCTATATAGACCGCGTTTTGAAGCAGCAGGCCATTGGAGATCTGGTTGTAGTAGGAGCCCTCATATGTCCAAGCAGTAGAACAACTGGCGGGGGGTGTGAATATGCTGCTTAAGGAGGTAATTGTCGACGATACGTCGGAGGTCATGTCGGATGATGTCCCCGGAGAGGGGAGGAGATCAGGAACGCAACGGCACAACGAACGACGAGCAGGGTCAGCAGTAGGTGCCTCACTGATTTAAATGGTTTGCTCGACTGTGGGACTTCAGGTCCTGCGCGATGTTAAGTGCCGCCCTTTTTGGTATTAGGCCATGATAGGCTGAGGGGACAAGTAGTGGCGGAGGTATGGTAGCGTATTATATCCAGGGAATGCAAGCGCCGACTAACTAATTTAGCTTGTTGGCTTACTCCGCCAGGGATGGTCCAGTACCCTGAATGACTCCCATCCCGAGATTATCGGAACTCGGAAGAGTCACCACCTTGTTTAAACTCCTTCACAACTAGCCGATATCCATGGGATTGTCGTCAGCTTCAGCTTGCTCAAAATCCTTAGTCGTAACGACCGAAAGGAAGTGGGGATGATAGAGGCGAGGCTGCGAGCCGGAAGGCGGACTGACTAGCATCCGCTAAGCGTTTGGGGGCCATTGGAGGACACTAGCCCAAGCCCCCTGGAAAGAACATGCAGTAGTCTGGGACTATTGCGGGATGGTTGAAACGCCGGGCCACATGGGCACATTTACCACACACAATAGGCGAATATTATGGCAGCCTGTTTCTAGCTTCTATGCGCTGTATTAGACTGCAGCATATCCAAGGTGATGTGGTTCGGTCTCGTGAGGCCAGTTGACAGTGGTTCCCCACTTGGCCTTATCTCCGACAAAAGGCTTAGCGAGGACTAACGTCTAAGGCTCTAGGCCTCTAAGCGCACGGCAGACTCCGAGGCAGGAATCAGGCTCATCCCTAGCGGCGGCAATGCACACGGAGTAAGATTCACGCGTCAAGATCCAATTCCGTCTTCCGTACCTGAGAACCCGCCAAGCGATGCTGGCCACCGTGTGACGGTTCACTCTTCTCTTGTGAGCACAATCATCTTGTTGTCGACATCCAGTCTAGATGACGTACGTCTGGTGATTGTTGGCGCAAGTTGTCACGAATTTAATGAAATGAGTGGTTCTGGGGAAGGTGAGAGAAAAGAGGTAGGTGGATGGAGTCACTCTAGACCAAGAAAAGTCGGTCACCTGACCTAGATTAAGCACAATCTCCTGAGCCGCAATTCCAACGAATGTCTAGCTTTCTTTCGGTTACTGGCTCGCACAGTTCTCCGTACTCTCAGTCATCGGCTATTCTATGTAGCATCAGATAGATCAACCTAGAGAGCGATGCTGAAGGTCAAGACTCACCTGTCTTTCAGCCGCAGACCACAACATCCTCCACTCCCAGACCCAGACAGTTCACATCTAGTCGTTTATTCTAGATTACCAAAAGACAACGAAAGAGGATGTTTGCGGGAAACTGCTCATTCCATGATCACAATTAAGAAGCTGTTCCCAGATGGGAGTACTTGAGTAGCCGGCGCGTGAATGCGAGCAAACCTGCAAATACGGACCGGACAGTGAAACTTAAACAGCTGACTACCTATGTGATGTACGTCGCTTTTCGAGTATAACGGGGATTTCCCCTAGTCCTATAGAAGAACCCACTATTTATCGAGCTTAGAAGCCTTCTGCTCATGGTAGAATTCCACTGAGTATAAAGCTCTAATGTCAACAGTAGATAGATCCCGAGTATACTAGAAAAATCATGATCAAAGAAGAGAAGGGAGCCGTAGCATGCTTTGTCTCAAAGTTGCTTTTCTTTACCAAGAGTGCTAACAATAGTTTCATTGTGCTGAACGTAATTGTTTGACTGAAGAGGGAGCATCTGGAGCGTAACAATGGAGCCGTTGATCATTTGTTACATTAGAAGGCGCTGGCGACAGGTACAATACTCCTCACAACTTTGACTATAAAATGTCCTAGCACCTGTGTTGCATCCACGCCCGCACATTCTCGTTTTCATCACACCATCATCGACTCTATCTCATATTCCAGCTTTTAGATTTCACTATGGATTACGCCGAAGACTCAGCCGACGAAGACTGTGCTGAAATACAGCACCGGAATGTTCCCGACCTGCAATATCCGAGCAAAGAAGAACTTATGGATGCAGCATCTGTGGTAATTAGATCCTTGCAACAGTTAGATTGGCGAGAGATCGGTGAGACGCCTCCCAACCTGGCAATTACCGGAGGACTTGCAGTCATGCATTATTGTCCCGATCGTCTGCCTTCCATTGTAAGTGCAATGCAGTCCGCAACGCCTATTCTATGATAACTAATCCAGTAAACAGGCACACAACGGACGGGAAGATATTGACATCGTGCTGTCAAATACTCAAGGGGGACGAATAAGATTGGCCCTGCAATATGAATTTCCGGAGGAATTTGTAAACCAAGAGATCGACCTGTTTGTAGTTACACCTCGCGGCAAGGTCAAAGTAGATTTCAAGTGGGAAGTCTATATGGTGAGTGTCACGCTTGTTACGCATCTTAGCCTAAGATGAGATGATCTGATCTAATCGAACTGTTGCAGGAGTCTGCAAGTTTAAGCACGGTACCTCTGCACGAGATCAGTCCTGAGGATCCGCCTTTCATGAATCCGCAAACTCTCACTGTGTCCAAATTACTATCCCTTAGCGGACATGTAGTTGCGAGATATGTTCTATTTGAGAGGCCCTGGAATCATGGGATAGATGCCCTTAGGCTGGTACGGCGATTCGATCGGAGCACATTGACGTTGGCTAAATTCCAGGCGATGCATATCTACAAGGAGAAAGATAAACTGGAGCGCTACACTACCATGCCATATAAACAGTGGGCGAAAATGATGGAAGTCGAGTTACGCGTTAGCATTTCACGTCTGACAAAAGAGCGCTCGACACAAGGGAAACCTTTTAAGTTGTTGGACTATGTGTGAGATTGGTTTAGATATTGGTGTCAGGATAATGTGGACTGTGTTTCATATTGCTTAAGCTGTTTGATTCTCTCTTGTTTGCGCTTGTGATGAAGATGGTGGACATTTTGGGGAGAGAAGTAAGTATAAGATGGTGTAGGTGATGTCGATTTAAGCTCTTGGTGCAGATAATCCATGCATTGGTTGTGTAACGCTGTGACTTTATATTGCTGCATCATGGATGGTCCTGGTTGGATGATGATATGGTCATCTTAGAACTTGCATACCTGCTTATGCATTATTGGTAATGGCTATCTCTGCGAACAGCTAAGTTTCTGCAAGCGATTATGAAGCATGCACATCACTTACACGCATATCAACAACGTTGATAATCTCTCTTGAAAAAGTAGTCAAGGACGTCAATACTTAAACGGCGACATAGTGGTGACGATAAGTAAATATGCTCAAACAAGCAATGGACTAGTTCCAAACACAACAAGTATCCGATAAGCAGCTATGAGTAACTGGGATTCCTTCCTGTACCTCATGTCCTTTTTGCTATGCTTTTACACGAAGATGACAATACATTGTTAATGTACTTCCCTCATCCCCAATAAATGCTTGATGCCCTCAATGCTGTCCATCCCATTCACTCCTACCTTAAGACCACGAGTCTTCACTCCAGATCTAAGATATCTAATCTGCAGAATCTGAGATCTGTTTAGGCATGTCCATACCAAACCAAAGAGCCAATCAAACCTACAAGTTTCTCTGAATGTTAAAGGAATCGCGAAAATCCACTTTCCACTGCAGGCCAATGATAGGGGTGCCTGAAGACGCGTCGACGTGTCAGTGGGGGCTTGTTTCAATTCCCCGGACTGTCTGTAGTGAATATATTGGTGTCTGGGTTTGTTGTCATATGCTGGTTCTGGTTCTAGTTTAGATTGATGGCTATATACATATCAGCATAGTACTATAGTTATAGTCTGCTAAGTCCATATCGAAGATCACTGAGATGCCCCTTTTTTGCTAGAATATACAACATACTTACTACCTCCCCACCACCACATCTGCCTCGTTTTACTGCATAAGCAACCATACGGGCTTCCGATATACCCTCTCCAGCTACCCCATCGCCATCATCCACTTCTTCCCCTTCACCGTCACTTATGGACTCAGTGCAAAGCAAGCGAATCATAGACCCAGGCCATGCTATAGAAGTTGATGGGGTTTGGATTCATTGTGGGTAGAAACTTGGCACTTTGAATTGTAGGCTAAGGGGATTGTATGAAAAGCAACAAATGGTGTAATCATAGGTTGTGTTGGTGTGATGGATGGTAGTGAAGATGGGGGTTGGATGAGGAGGTGTTGCGCTTGTGGATGGGTGCGTCACAACAAGTACACTTTTTGTGAGGTTTGTAGTACTGAAAGGGAGGAAAGTGGGACAGTGGATGGGGCGATCGATAGATCTAGAAGTTTATGTGATGGGGGGAAAAGGGTAATGGGGGATACTTGGATGCTGTTTGTTCTTGCTTGCTAGGTGATTGATATCGTTTGCTTGGTATTTGGGGACAGGGGATACTCCTAGTAGGTTTATTTGACTATTTATTCGAGAAGAAATATAATCTAGCTCATCTCACCAGGTGTAAAGGCTGCATCCACTCCCCTGGTCAAAAGATCAGCGGTAAGGCGCGTTGTGCTAACTCATTGTTGTCTTGGATGGATAGCTTCGCATACATACTAGGCCTGTTAAATGACGTCATCGACTGCCAAACCTGCTGTGTTCTCATTGACCGCAATTCATATCTTATAGATTAATCCTAGTATCTATCAATACACGAATCAGGCACAATAATCAAGAAACTGTAAGTCTACCTGTTGTTGAGTGTTGATCTTCCTACTCTAATGGCTGCTGTAAATATCTCCTCTCTCATTGGTGGACCACCGAGCGATCCTCCACACGTGACAGCGCGCCAGGCGGGACGCGCCTCTCTGAAGGACGAGTTTGACCATCTTCCCAGACGCCGACTGCTCGATATTTCGTATCAACTCACTTAAATCACCCTCAACATGTCTTACTACGATATCGATGCGATTCTAACAGACTCCCAAGTACGTGACCACCATAATACTGCCGTGCGCAGCCATTCTAACCTCCTATCTAGAAACTGCCCTGCACATTCGAACTGGAAGTGCCCGGTCTTGGCATTCTAGAAGGGAATCCGGGAGAAAATGTACGTCCGCGAAACTATTCGACTTGTTTATCACGGATGCGAGTCATGCTGACCGCTTCGTAGATCAAAGCTGGAACGCGCATTGATTTGCCGTTATGGTTGGGGGAGATGCTTTCTATAGGGTGAGGAATCTATCAAGACCCCGATTGTGGTGTGTTGTTAGCTGATTGTTCAGTGCGCGTTTGGGAACCTCACGACTGGTTACGCTGGATCTTCCCTCGGCGCTGTCGGAACGGGTCATGAATGCCTTGAAGGCTGATCCGAGGACGGTGGAGTTGCGTTCGTTGGCGCCGCATTTTTATAGTTTGAGTGAACGCATTCTGGAGCTGTTTGAAGAGGAGGAGATGGTGGAGGTGTTGAGTAATGTATGGTGGCTTGGGAACATTCAAAACCAGGTGCTAATTGTGCATAGACGTTTAAGAAGCGATCTGCGGCGATCGCGGACCATGCGCACAACCCGCAGGGCGCTTTAGGACAGGGTGCGGATTTCTTGCGTGGGCTGGATGAGACGGAGAGACAGCGTATGTTGAATCCCGTACCTGTATGGTTTGTGGCTGACGCATCTAGTATTCCGTGTCGCTCATGATAGTGCCAAGGAGACGCGCATCTGGGCTGGAGAGGCTAAAAAGAAATGATTGTCGGAATGTGTTGGAGGTGCTGATGTGAGGGTTGAGCTGTGCTCGCCGTTAGAATTATACACTTCAGATTAATTATGGCTAAAATGTGATATGACCGTCTTAGAGTTATGCATCTAGTTGCTAAGCTTGGCTGATGCTATTATCTGTCTGGCTTCCTCCGTACCGGAAGTGTAATAGAGTTAATCCTTGAGGCTGATCCGATCTTACCAGCTATTCGGGCAATAATCTGTGGACGGGCCATCAACTAGACGACCGGATAGGCAAGTCGTCCAAGCCAATCACTAGAAGACCCGAAAGATCGCTGCATACCCCCACGTTGACTGATCTTTACATCTGCTCCGGACTCCGTACAGTGGATAATCACGCGGTCATTGCTCACCGGGATCAGACGAACCGCAGGACAGGTCAGCTCCGACAGGCGGAGTTAACTGCCTAGGGACCTACCGAGGTTTGTGAAACCCCCGCCGGAAAAATGGCAGTCGAATTCTGCGCCATCCGAGCCATGGAAGAACGATGGGGCCCAAGTTATCTGGCACGGGCGTGATAGAGTGCCTGAGACAAGCGATCGAGATGGAGGCCGACGATTGCAGGTGTGGCGGGGGATCAGAACCACGGGCGGCCGATGGGTCCCTGGATCCTGGAGCGTGGGGCACCTCTGGAAATCATGTGGAAGTTGACGGATCAGATTCGCATGCAGTCCTGGCGCTTCCACTGAGGCTTCTAATGGTGCAAATCCATCAAGGAGGGGATTGTGAGATTTTAGTCGACCGAGGAGATGGTGGGGAGACCAGGGTCATTGGTTCCCCCCCCTGATGAAGTGCTCCCAGGATGTGTGTGACGGGATGGTTACAGTAGGGTGCAGTACTAGTAGGAGGTGTGGTGCTCCCAGCCTCTGCCCAGCCATCATTGGCCGACCCCAAAATCAAGACGATGGGCGGGTGACGACGGCGATTGGGAGCTTAAGTTCGGGTTCAGCAGCAGCGCAACAGTCCAGCCCCGACAAGTGGTCGGGACTTCCATGGGCGGGCGCGGGCAAGGGATGGCTAGCGGCCGTCATTGGGTGGTTGCACCACCGCAGGCAGAGTGAATGGGGACCGACCGGGACCGGGATCCAGTTCCTGCCTGGTGGTACTACTGGTGGTGCCCGCTAATTTAGTCTCCTTTGCAATCCTTCCTTGAGCCTATCTCGTTGCTTTCACCGTTTCCCCTCCAGTCCACCCGGTCCAGAGTACTGTATGCCGTATGTTGTAAGTCTTCACATTCATCACCACCTTCACCTTGTTTCGCAACATTCATCATCATCATCATCCTCCTCCTCCTCCTCTCCGTTGTTGCTTGGCAACCACTGCACATTCCACAGAAACCTCCCAAATCCAACGCATGCATGCAGCCAGCATACCGTGACCAAGATCTCCCAGGGAAATCCCCCATGTATTTATTGTGCAGTGTGGAGATCGTCTTCCTGTCACTCAGTCCCTTTCTTGGCCGCCAGGATCCACGATCGACTCGTCACACTTTCTCCTCACACTTTTCTCCTCGCTCCCCTCACGTCTGACCTTTTCCATCCTAGAGCCACCGGCGCCATCGCCTCTCTTTGTTCCTCCCGTCTCCGACTGTCCGACTCTTCCCCCCTCTCGCCGTTCCCGCCAGACGCTTGGACGCGGTGGGCCTCGTTTCGTCACCAATCGTCGTGCCAGGCCCGTTTTCTCACCACCCAGCTGAGACATTGCTTTTTCTCCTTGCTCTGTCGGTCGACTCACGTCTCGATCCTTCTAAACCACCTGCGTCCTGTGGATACGATCCTGCGACCTACTGCAGTCTAACTGGCATCGCGCGTCTTGTCAGTTATGCGCATTAGCTAGGCGTCACCATGGACCGACATCGCCAGCGACGGAGCACCGTCTCGGTGCAATCAACCACCCCTTCTTCCCTGCGACATTGTTCGTTTCCCTCGACCACCTCGCCTCCGACCGAGACCTCCTCGTCTGTCAAAACTGATCCGAAGCTGAAGCGTGAGCCCTCCCTCAAAGCCTCATCCCTTGATTGTTCCAGGGACATGAGACAGACAATGACGGGGTTGGTTACTGACTGGTTCTTTGTTCCCCTACAGGACGGTCTGCTCCTCCGAAGCCACTTGCCCTTGCCCGGGTCAAGGGAACGATCGCCATGGACTCATCTCCGTCGCAAATAAGTTCAGGTGCGAACCATCTCGCGAGGTGATGTGCACGGTACTAATTGCGTTACAGAAATGTCGTGGCTGAACGACGCATCGCCAATGTCGATGACGCCGAGAACTGCGACCCCGAGAACACCACAGAGATCTAGAGCCGGTACGCACATGTCTCTACCCGACGAGGGACACACCAGGGAGGGAGCGCAGACGCTGACTAGTGCTGGACAAATAGGAACCCCAGAACCTGACCCTCCATCGCTTGTCCCGTCTTCTGCCCTCCTTCAAGACCTGTTGAACGAACAACGCGCAAACCGAGGCCCCAAAGCAACGTCGGAGGACATGGGCCACGGCGCCCCACGCACGCCGGAACGATCTCACTCCCGGCCCCAGTCCCGATCCCAATCACCGGCGCAGACCCAGTCGCAATCCCGATCACAATCCCAGGAAGAGGCAGGGTCGGAGAAACAGCGCAAAATCCACACCGCGCTTTCTTCGGGTCTCCGACAGCCACATGAAATGGGTGTCAGAGAAATGGGCGAAGTAAGTTCCACCACGTTTGATCTGAGCTTGCAGATAGCTGACCGGATATAGTACGTGTCCAAAATCAACAAGCAGAACTTCGACTTGAAACTCGAGATCTTCCATCGCACCCAGCAAATAACCGCCCTGGGGAAGAAGTTGCAGCGCATGGCGAGCATGGAAGAGGAGCTCCAGCGCCTGCGAGGCTTGGAGGATGAGGTCCAGGAGCTTAGGGACGCCGAATCAGACAATCAGCGACTGAGGGAGTCAAACGAGCAACTACGACAGGAAATTGACCGGCGCGACCAAGCAATTACAGAGGCGGTCAGCATGATCTGCCTTTTAGAAACCAAAGTGGCACAGTTGCAAGCCGGTGCGGACACGTCCAGACCCTCTACGGCTCGCGCCTATGAAGACGATGACCCCGGTGCTACGACGCCTAGGCAGACCACCATTGTTGATATCCCGGAGAGGACGTCCTCGAAGCGCGGCACTTTGGTCTCCAAACATCGGCGGACTTCCTCGGATTCACGCCATCTCAAGCGTGCACCCTCGTTTCTGTCCGATGAGACCAAGAGCACAACAGCACTGCAGGAGGCCTCTACTACCGATGACCAGTCCCGTTCAGCATTCAGTGAGATTACCAAGTCCGAAAGCTTTCAATCCATGAGCGAATTCCAGGAGCCTGAATCCCCAAGGCTCAGTGCGTTGAGTGAGTGCAGTGAATTGTATCCTCCCGACCCCGCAGGCGATCAGTTGGAGATTCCGGTCAAACGAGATTCCATCGATGCCGCAGAACCCGCAGAAGTAGCGGCGGAGGAAGCCGTAAACCAGAGACGGATTGAATCATGGATTCAGCCGCAAAGTGAAACTTTTCTGGAAGATGTTCCGAAGCAAAGCATCATCCCCTCCAGCCTATTCAAAAAGACGGACAACCCAAGCTTCGAGAGTGATTCATGCAATGGGTCTAGTCAGAAAACCCGAGTGGATAGTGTATTCGGGAGCACGCGACTGCCGCCTACACCAGACACCATGAGTACTGCATACGCTGCTGGTCCGAACCGGTCGAATGGCAGTATTGTCGCCGAAAAGAGCCTTGTTGACCAAGCTCTGCCTACCAAGACTGGACACGGCCGTCCGCGCTCCGCAAGTGCGTTCACAATGAGACGATTCTCCGGTAACAGTGCCGCAGTGGATAGTGTGGAGATGAATGTGAGTGACGTCACGCTTCCTCGATTGAGCGCCGATGAGGGAGACGAATCGCCTGCGATTTTCCCTTTGAATAGTATCACATCGAGAGACGGGGCTGTGTACTGCCCGGAGTCTCTGCATAAGACAAGCCTTGGCTATTATGGTCAAGATGCGTTCGATGGAGAGGGCCTTGGCACTGTTCTCTCAAAACTCGACAACCACTACTACGGTTCGACGCGGCGCCCTGGGTCGGGGCCAGAGGATTCGGAAAGCTCGTTGTCTTCGTCGCCACCCTTGACGCCTCAAGATTGGATCGAGGCCGCCAAATCGGATTCTCACCGCAGACGGGAACCGGTGCATTCTGGGCCCAAACCAGCAAATCCCCGGCCTCTAGGTGCACGGATTCCCAGCCAATCTTCTTTCCTGGGTCGTCGGCACAGCATGGATTCCCACGTCAGGGACTCGGATGTTCCTATGATACCCACGCTGGACATGCAGTCGCTAGACTCTGGTTCACAGCCCGAGCCTGATCTAGATCGTCGGATGATTGGGCGACGGATCAGCCTCCGGCCTCCTTTCTTTGCCCGCTCTGCACCTCCCCGTCGCCTCCAGCCCTCCCTGATGCAGGACCCGACGGATTCGGACGACGGTGCTCCTGCTCCTATCGTTCGTAAAGCACGGGACGAGGGTCCTTCCAAGACGACCAAGCCGAACAAGTCTGAAGCGCGTGGTTCCAGTTTCTCTGCCTCGGTTCCAATCCATACCATCGCCAAGGCCGACGACATTCACCGGACGCTCCCTCATTCCTTCACCGAAAGTTTCATGAACAGTGCCATGTCCCGACCTCCGACGTCGGGCAGCAAGGAACACAAGCGCCGCAGTTCGCTCGGGATTTTCGGCTGGATGAAGGGAGCGAGCGGTCTCGGAAAGAAGCACGAACCCGAGCCTCCTGCAAAGCCTAGCATGGCCACTGGTGCGTTGGTCCGAAGTAAAGCCAACCGACTGGCCGATGCCCGGGAAGGGGTTTCTGAGCCTGTTCGGACATTCGACGTGGGAGCGATGAACATGGCCATCGGACAGGCAATCCGAGACGACGACGAATCGGGCCGACGACCCCGGTATATAGACCGACGGTCTCGTCGTGGCTGAGGTTAGCTTACTTTCTTTATTTCTTTTGTATTTCCTTTCACTTTCATTGGACCGTTATGACCTCACGATACCCTATGAGTTACATGTCTGCAGATGGCACGGATTGTACCAGTATTGGTGGCTGCTACCTTTGTTGCTTGCTATACCCATGGTATCTGGCTGGCACTGATATCATATTATGCTTGTTGTGACGATTACGCGAATACCTCATGATTACTTCAATGAAGATATGTTACAGGATATAGTGCTTAAATTTTTACAGTAAGCAGAATAGTCGTGTATGAGACGGTGCACAGGCCTTGCTCGTGGTTCGTAGGCTGTTTAGCCTTGTCAAAACCATGGATATGGAATAGTAAAGAATCGGATATGTAAATCCACCCGGGCCAAAACGATATATGGCAGGCACTGCTAAACCAATTTGACCATAGTCGTACCGTGAAAGGCCGAGAAATATGGGGCAATCCCCTTCGCTTGTCTCCTGCTGCCCCTCCCCCCGCTTAAACGATCTTCTTGCAGGATGTGAACTTTCGCCAGCCCTTCTCAAGTACCCTTTATGACATTTTTCCAGGCTCTGGTATAGACAGTCTCCTCAACCATACCTGAATTTCATCCCTTAAGGTCTTCAACGTCTCCGCTCAGCTTGACATATAATACAGGTTCATTGCATATCAAATAGTTGAGGAAACAATTGGATGCTTGTCCGGATCGTCCTGCTAATAACAATAAACAGTATACTAACATGAATGTCAAGTCCGACACAGTCACTAACTGCTAAAGGTCTTCTTGAACACATCCTTCATATATATAGACCGGGGCTAACCTTCCGAATAATCACATCAAATGGAAATCATCTTCCCTGGTAGAGCAATACTAACAATAGACAGAGCATCCCACGGGAAAGGATACCAGTTGACTAAGTGCTATAGGCCAGCTCATACACAAACCGCATGGGAACACTCATCATATCGAACAAGTGGACTAAACTCCAACTACCATCTTGTCACGTCCCGGGATGAAGGGAGATCTGGTGTAGGGAGATTGTTTCCTCGTACGTTGAAATAAAGGAGTGTTGGGCTTTGGTTTCCTGCATGTATCTGGCGGGTTATCTTTAGCGTCCTGGAGATATATTAGGGAATAGCATCGGGGGCGTTATCCGTTCGTTTTTGGGATCTTTGGTAGTTGTTCTGGATATTTGGAATAGTTCCGACTCTTGCTGGATAACAGTCAGATATAGTGCTTTTGGGTTTGCATAGTAGAGTGGGTGGTGTAGATTAGGGGTTGATGTATAATCTCATATGGTGGTCACTTGGAGATTGGGAGGAACCTACCGCAGTTGGACACACAGTTGTAGCTATCTCCGTGTCAGACTTGGCCTCTTTTCTTGACGCTTGAGTTTAAAGTCATGAGGGAGTGGGTGATAGCTCACGCGAGAGCACTGGGGAACTTTCCGACAACATCATCGGTAATTTCTTGACTCTTTATGTATTATAACTCGAAGACATAGTTGTCTGCCAAAACACTATATGAAGCATATTGATAATTCGGATACACTGTATGTATAAACTGTGAGCTCCTTGGTAAAGGAGATGGGTGTGTTGATGATAATCATGTAATGAATCTGTCTTGGGCGATATATCCGCCAGCTTAAGTCGACTGTGTCGCCCTCCTGCGTAGATTCTCAAGCCAGGCATGTGAGAAACATCCTCACAATCAAGACTGTTCCATCGCTTGTTCGGTAACTATGTCTTTTATCATTCCTGTACCGACAACCGGTGGAAACACTATCGCAACGTGACAGACGTGATCTGTGTGTATTGCACACTTCAGTGTGCTTGATTGTAGGGTCAGCTTCAAAAGGTATAACATGCGTCAGGCACAAATTGGAGGTGTCGATGTATCTATCCGTGGAGGGTCCAATCTTCCAGTTGTCTTCAAGTTTAGTGTGATTCGAACCGAGTTAGGTAGGTTAACAAGATCTAGCAATAACGCAGTAGGCCTTCGATTTTTGTGTTAGAATAACCGTGTGCATCATGACAACGCTTTTTAGTAGTTCTGATCTGCTACCACGGAACGGAATCCAGATAATAGTTTGGGTAAAGATGTATAGCTTCATATTTTCTCCCGCTACTACCGTAACCATCTAACTCAAGTCAAGGGCCTAAACTGATATGTTTTCTGAACCTGACAATCAGTGCCGCGTTCAAGGCCTTTTAGCGGCCGAGGTCGGGATCGGCGTCTAAAGATACTAGGAAACGGTTTGTTGAAAGGGAAGTTATGCCTTGCTTGCTATAATTTGTTATGTCCCACTTATGGTTGTAATGCGGCTGGTATATATCTAGGACCCGGTGCTTGGGACTTTGTGGATGACTATGGGTGGCTTGCTGTATGGGTTTGGTGGTGGGGTGGGGTGTAGGGGTTATTGGTATCCATGTAGTTATTGTTGTTGTAAGGGGTTTTGATTGGATGGGCTAAGTGTTGGGGTTGGGCTTTTGTTTCGAGGATTGTCATTGTGTGGTCTTAAAGTGTAGATATCTCAGGAGTAGGTCTGAAGAATCAAGTGGCTTCAAACGAATTGTAGAAGAGAAGGAAGCCGGGGGTCGAAAACGAAGATGAGGATCTATATAGGTCCTAAGTAGTATCCATTCTTCAAGGAATGCGCGAGTCTGTATTGAATTCAGAGAGGCAATGGAATGCATTATGTTTTGAGATAATTGAGGGGAATACGATGAATCAGGGGTTGTGTCTAGAGATATTCAATCTTTTTGCTTCACTCGAGATCTATGGGGTAGTGATTAGGTTAATTTCCTATTATCGAAATGATTTCATGTACCGAATAATATAACAGTATCACCTGCACGCCATTGTCAATCTATATCGGTTGCCCCAGTCCCAATGCACCATCCATCAACTCCCGTCCATAGCTCAAAGTCCAGTAGAACATAACGCAAACAAACAATGCCAGATAGTTAAGACAGGGTAATCAATACCACCCCGTCCCCTCCTCGCCCAACTTTTTCCCCTTCGGATTCATTGAAATAATTCGCTGCCCAGGCAACGTATCATCCGTAATGGAGGATTCAAAGATCCCCGAAATAGACCGCTTCCCTAACATTTCAAACGAATCATACCCCTCCAACAACCCATTGCACGCCGCCCATTCCCTCGACAGCCGCGGAGAGCTCCCATCGCCCAAATCACACCACCGCGTGACCACAATAGCATGTCGGAAATGCAGAGCGCGCGGATCTGCGCGATCCTCCGTCAACTTGACCTCAATGAGATATTCAGACGGACATTCCGGGCAGCGACGCATGGGACGACATTTCCCGCACAGCGTGGTCAGGGCATTAGGGTTGTGTAGGCGCCGGGCCACGACGTCTTTGGCGCGGTGTTCGAGGCCCTGCAGGGCGCTGTTGTCCCGGGGAACGGGGATGTGGGAGAGGGCGCATTTGCAGGCGTTCATGAGTTCGCCATCGCGCCAGTGCGCACACGCAGAGAAGTATGGCCAGTAGTCTTCGCGGGAGTAGAGGAGGAGCCGTTGTGAGCTAGGCGGCAGACCGGGATCAGCGAAGCGTGTGCTGGTCACTCGCATGAGCAGATGGCCTTTGTGGATATGGAAGCGGGTATGATGGGTCCAGTCGTCGCGGCGCCAGCGGCGGGAGAGAGATTGCGCGGGGATACCGTAGGAAGGAGAGAAGCGGTGCGCGCGGATGGCGAGCTGCACAAAGGTGAAGGGAATGGTGCGGCCATGGGTGATGCGGTGGCGTGGGGGTGGGAGGAGCGGGTTGCGCATGTTCGGGCAGTCGAAGAGCGGGTTGACTACATTGGCGGGCTGCAGCTTCTCGTGGCCTTCCTGCGTGCGGACATGGTAGCGCGCGCAAGGGAAGCAGAGGAGGTGATGTGGATATTGGCGGTCTTGTGTGACGAGGAAGTCGGCTCGGTAGTCGTGGTTGGAGGGGTGGTTGAGGGCTTGCCAGGGATCTTGGAAGGAGAGGAGGGAGAGGAAGGTTTTGCTGGCGAAGGCCAGACTGGCCTGGTCGGCAGGTGTGAGGTACTCGAATATCAGGGCCCAAAGCGTTGGAGAGAGGCTGGCGATCATGGGCTCGCCAGGAGGACGAGTGTCGTACTCGGGGTTGGCATAGGGGTCTGCGGGATCGAGGTCCTGAACCCCAATGGCGTGCAGGATTTCGGTGGGATCGCGGCTTTCACCGAGTTGAGTATCTTTGTTGGCATTGATCTCGCGGTATTTGAGGCGATGGGCCTCCAATGGGGCCAGGGAGGGCAGCGGAGGGACATCTTCGCTGGTCGTGCTGGACCGCTGGAATTCGACTCGGAGGTCTGGGGTGGATGCGGAGGAGCCCTTGCGGAGAACTTGTCGAGATTTTTTGGGCCGGAGAGCATGGGCAAAGAACGCCCGAAAGCCGCGCCGTTCTCCAGGGCTGTCCGCTGCCATGGTGGGCGGATTGGAAATCGGCGGAGGGAAGAGAAAGAAGATGAAGCTGCAGATGACGAACCCCGATAAGATTGCGGTTGCGGTATTACCGGATGTTACGGAGCTGGCATCCGCCACTGCCGAGCTTCAGCCACAAGCATTACGGAGTACGGAATACACCACAAGATCTTACGAAACGTTAAGCTGCCATTCATACTGAATTTGCATTAGGGCCATCCATGCAGCCTGATTAGTTCCAAAACTATAGTACTCATATACGCAGATCCACAATCGCTAATCAAGCCGCGTCAATATACAGTCGTTTGGGAAAGTTTAGGCGGAGAAGCGCTTCTCCACGGCCTTCCAGTTGATAACCTCCCAGATGGCCTTGAAGTACTCGGCCTTGCGGTTCTGGTATTGGAGGCTAAACAAGGTTAGACACTGGTAAAGCCATGTTAGGTGGAGGTGCACTCACTAGTAGGCGTGCTCCCAGGCGTCAATACCCAGCAGGGGCTGAAACTGGCCGACAACGGGGTCCTGGTTCTGCATAATTGTCAGCCGATCCGCTTTCCTTTGCACAGCTTGCGGCACTTACGGCGTAGGTCTTGATGGCAATGTTGCCGGTCTGCTTGTCCTTGACGAGCCACGCCCAACCGCTGCCTTGGATACCAGCAAGAGCAGTGTTCATCTTGTTCTGGAACTCCTCCAGGCTGCCAAAGCTGTCGTTGATGGCCGTAGACAGGGCACCGGACGGGGGCTCACCACCGCCGGCGTTCTTGGGGGCCAGGTTCTCCCAGAAGAGGGTGTGGTTGATGTGACCACCGCCGTGGAAGTTGATCAAGGGCTTGAGGGCAATCTGGGCCGCGATGTCGTTCTTGGCCTGGGCCTCCTGGAGCTGCTCAATGGCGGTGTTGTAGCTGTTGACGTAGGTCTGGTGGTGGTTCTTGTGGTGAAGCTCCATGATCTTGCCGGAGACGGCGGGCTCGAGCGCGCCATAGTCGTCTGCAGAGGGTCAGTTCCGTGACGGGTCCTAGATTCTCCTACGGGTCGTCGCTGAGCACGTACAGGCCAGGTCAGGGAGAGTGGCCTTGCCGCGGGCAAAAGTCAAGCCCGCGATACCGGCAGCTCTGGGAGTAGCCGAAGCTCCGGCGCGCACGGCAGTGCGGGCAGAGGTGCGGAAGAGGGTAGCAGCCATGGTGAATGAGAAGTGAAGCAGAAAGCGACACAATTACAGGGACACAGAAAGAGGAGGGAGAGGAGAGTTGCAGGAAAAAGGAAGAAGGGAAGAAAGCGGATGAGGAAGTCCAACGTCATTGTTGCTTCGGAGGGCGCATTTCCCCGCGCCGAACTCGCCGGGTGGGATCCACCATCTTTTAGCTTCATCATCTACCAGGCGAGATTCTCGAGATTCCCCATCATGTTGCCGGGCTTCCTCCCGTTTCTCTCCTCATAATCTCAGTCCCTCGTTTCCGTCGTCTTATCCCCCGGTCCGGCCATGGAGTCCCCCCCGTCTTCGCCTTATGCCAGCCAAAAACGCAAAATCGCCGACATGAGTTCCGACGAAGAGGAAGAAGCCTATCGCCCAACCATGGGCTTCCGCGGCTTTGCTCGTGCATCGTCTCGCTCCGAGTCGCCTCCCTCACACGGCGGGCTAGGCAGTGGTCGTCGCAATCCCTGGAATAATAACGCGCAACCAGCGATGAAAGGCGGCAACAACAATACCGGCAAAGGAGCCTCCTCGGGAGGCAACTCGTTTGCCGCCCGTATGATGGCCAAGATGGGCTATGTCGAAGGACAGGGTCTTGGTTCATCTGGGCAAGGTATCATCAATCCGATCGAGGCCCAAGCTCGGCCCCAGGGTGCCGGTTTGGGTGCGGTCCGTGAGAAGACGAAACAAGCACGAGCGGAGGAGAAACGGGCAGCAGCTCTTCGGGGCGAGTCCGTCGACGACAGTTCTGATGAGGAGCGGAAAAGGCGACAAAAGAAAAAGGAGGAGCGCAAACGAGAGGGCAGAAGCGGGACAGGAACCCCGGTGGCTCGCGCGAAGCCTCAGTTCCGGACTGCGCGCGAGATGGAGAAGGACATGGAGGGCTTGGAGGTTCCGAATGTGCTGAAGTCGCTGATTGATGCCACCGGAAAGGATCAAAAGGTGTTAACATCCACCGCTGGTTTGATGACGCCGCAAACATTCGTCACTCAGGGCGAGGGCGAGGCCTGGAAGATTGCGCAGCGCGCCCGCAACGACCTGGAAGCGTTCGCAGATGAATGGAAGGGTTTGACAGAGAGGAAGAAATACATCGACTTTGAGGAGGCCCAAATCGTCGAGCAGCTGGACACGAATCAGCTCAAAGCCGACCAGCTGAGCGAGCTCGTCGCAGCGATCGGGCAACTGGAAATTTTCCAGAAAGAAGACACCCGAGCCAAGTTCGACGAACTGACCGATAAGCTGGAATCAATGGAGATGAAGTACCGCAACGAGATCGACGAATACCGACTGTCAGAAACGGCCGTCGCCGCGATCCATCCTCTGTTCCGTCAAGCGATGGAAGAATGGGAGCCTCTCAAGGACCCGACATACCTCGTCTCCAACCTCCGTCGTCTCCAACCGCTTCTACTCCGAAAAGCCAAAGACGAGCACACTCAGCGACAGTCGACATCCCCCTACGAGACCATGCTCTATACCCTATGGCTTCCCCGCGTGCGCTCCGCCCTCCTCAACGACTGGGACGTGTTCGAATCCGCCCCAGCGACCTCCCTCATCATCGCCTGGAAAGAGCTTCTCCCATCCTTCATCTACGCCAACGTCCTGGACCAGCTCGTGGTCCCCAAGCTCACCAACGGCCTGAAAGAATGGAAACCCCGCAGCAGCAGCAGACGCCACCACACCTCCTCCTCCAACAGCACCCGCTTCCCGTGGTGGCTCTTCACCTGGCTCCAATACCTTGACGAGCGTCACACCAACCCCAAGCAACCAACCGGCCTCCTATCCGACGCGAAGCGCAAATTCCGCGTCGTCCTCGACACCTGGGACCTCAGCAAGGGTCTAATCAGCGGCATCGAGCTCTGGCGCGACGCCCTCGGCTCCGAATTCAACGTCTGTCTCCGCAACCATCTTCTCCCCCGCCTCGGCCGCCACCTCCGCGAAGACTTCGAAGTCAACCCGCAAGACCAAGACCTCACCCCCCTCGAAAACGTCCTCAAATGGAAAGACTTCTTCAAACCCAACGTCACGGGTCTCCTCCTCGTCGCCGAATTCTTCCCCAAATGGCACAACATCCTCTACATCTGGCTCACCAACGACCCCAACTACGAAGAAGTCGCCGAATGGTTCACCTGGTGGCGCACCCAAATCCCCTCCGACATCAACGATCTCACCATCGTCGACGACGAATGGAACAAGGGTCTCCAAACCATGGACCTCGCCTCCCAACTCGGCGACCGCGCCGCCGCCGAACTCCCTGCCCCTTCATCCTCCACCACCACAACCACAACCACAACCGCCCCAACCGAACCCACCTCGAAACCCCTCCCCACCTCACCCCCCCGCAAACCCAAACAAAAAATCCTCGAAGAAGTCGCCTTCAAGGATATTCTCGAGTCCTGGTGTCTCGAGCAAGGTCTCATCATGCTGCCCTTGCGGGAAGCACATCCGCAGAACGGCCAACCGTTGTTCCGTATTACGGCCAGTGCCACGGGCAAGGGTGGGGTGGTGGCTTTCGTGCAGGGCGATGTGGTCTGGGTGCAGAATAAGAAGGCCAAGGAGACGTGGGAGCCCATGGGGTTGGAGGATCGGTTGGTGGAGAGGGCGGAGGGGAAATAAGCATGACTCTAGATAGATATGTTATGTTGTGTTTGGCGATAGGGTTATTATTTCAGTTCTTCTTTTGTATTTATGATACCATATGGATATTATGCCTTGGGCAGCTTTCTTGTGTATAATGATGTGAACTAATGTATCCAGTGTCAGGAAGAAAGGGTTAATAGGATCACTTTCTCTAATAGTATGCTTGGTGTAGGAAAAGGAAATGATCAGTCATCAAGACGTCATCCTATTATAATCTATCTAGTATCAATGACATGAATATGTATAATGAAGTGTCGTGCAGCTATATATACCGACAGTGGACCCGATGAATTGGGTGGGGTATCCCCGGAAATTGAACCCTGCCATCCATCCATCGAATGAGGCCAAACCCTGAACCAAGTAGCCATGCCATAACCCCGAGCGCAGACAATGTAAAACCAAACGCTAAATCGCTGAATCAATGATGAAAACAAAATAAGCCACCGTCAAGGACGAGCAGAGCATATTAAGCTCCGTTCTGGCCGTTCTCTTCTTCGTCGTCCTCTTCGTTCGTGTCGATCCAGCCGCGCGACATCTCGACGGCTTTCGTCCATTGGCGGTACATCTTTCTGCTCTGAACGGGGGAGACGTGCGGCAGGAAGGTGGTGCGGTTGGCGCGGTTCATGTCCTTGAGTTCGCCAAATTCCTTCCAGATGTTGGCCGCAAAGCCTGCTGCGATGGCGGCTCCCAGCGCCGTGGTCTCGTGCATGGCCGGACGTTCAATGGGGATCTGGATGACATCGGCTTGGGTCTGGGCGGAATTAGTTTCCGATCATCCGGAGAAGAGTCATGTGAGCAACCTACCTGCATACAGATGTCGGAATTACTCATTCCGCCGTCAACGGCTAGTTCCGACAACTTGTGTCCACTGTCCATCTCCATCGCATCCAGGATAGCCTTGGTCTGGAAGCAGGCGGCTTCCATGGTGGCACGTGCAATGTGACCACGCTGCGTGTGTTGGGTGATACCAACTATGTCATGTCAGTAACTGGGTTCTCGTGAGGTAACACTGCAGGTAGATTCAAACTTACAGATGGTTCCCTTAGCATCATCAATCCAGTAAGGCGCAAACAAACCACTGAAGGCAGTCACGAAGTAACAGCCGCCACTGTCAGGAACAGACGCAGCGAGGTCACTGACTTTACGGGAATCACGGAAGAAACCCATGTTGTTCATCAGGAAGGAGATACCACTGCCAGCAACGGCAACACTACCTTCCAGCGCATACACTGGCTTGCGATGCCGGCCCAGCTGGAAGCCCACTGTGCCAAGCAGGCCATGCTTGGAAATAACCGGCTTCTCACCGACGTTGTACAGGAGGAAACATCCCGTGCCGTAGGTGTTCTTTGCTGAACCCGGGGTAAATGCACAGTGACCGACCAGTGCTGCAGACTGATCTCCGAGACAACTAGTAATGGGAATACCCTCAAGTGGGCCGTCTCTGACCCACCCGTAACCCTCAGGGTCCGAGGAGGGGATAATCTCGGGAAGTCTGATCTTGTTTCTGTCGATTTCGAAGAAATTCAACAACCGATCGTCATAATCGAGCGTCTCAAGGTTCATGAACATGGTTCTCGATGCGTTGGTGACGTCAGTCACCAGACGACCGCCTTCCGGTCCACCGTTCAGGTTGTACAAGAGCCAAGTATCCACCGTACCGAAAGCGAGCCGACCCTCATCGTAGGCCTTCTTGACCTCTGGGAGATTGCGGAGCATCCAGACTAGTGTGACGGAAGAGGGGTAGGTCGACAGGGGAAGACCGCAAATGCTGGACAGCTCATCGGCGCCCTTCTTAGCCTTAAGTTCTCGAACCAAGCCAGTGGTTCTGGTATCGGGCCATGCGATGGCGTTGTGTAGAGGCTCGCCGGTCTCCCAGTCCCAGCACAGGGTGGTCTCTCGCTGACTGGTGATACCGATCGTCTCGATATCGTCCCGGGAGTGACCGAGGGCGAGGAAGGTCTTCATTGCTTCTTCGATACAGGTGTAAACGGAATCGACCAGTTCAAACGGATCTTGTTCGTGCCATCTAGGGAAAGACGGATTCATGTCAGCTCATGACGACCGACCGGGATCGGACCGGGTGACTCACCCTGAGTGTTCGTGGATCTGGCGGAATTCCATCTGGTATTTGGCCACGGGCACACCGGTGCAGTCAAAGATGATGAAACGGGAGCTGGTGGTACCGGTGTCAATGGCACCGATGAAGCGATCTTTCAGACTGCCACCGTGGCGGTTTTCATTCTGTAATATAGAGCGATTGCCATCATGCGTCTGATAGGCGTGAATGTCCATGTAAGGCTTCGGCTCTTCCTGTTCGACGACGGCGTCCAGGTCGGTCATGTCGAAGGGGTTTCTCATTTTGGCGGTTGTGATGGGAGGGGTTTTGGTTCTGGGGGCGTCGGAAAGGATATTTGCTGGGAAAGCAAAGGACGAGGCGGAGGGTGATTTCTGCATGGGTGCGGAGGGAGGGGCTTTTGAGGCTCCGACTTCTGATTTCCTAAAGAGGGAGGAAAGAAGAGACCAAGAAGGCAGAGCCTGGAAAAGGGAAGAACTGATTGGAGAAATCGTGGCGGTATTGAAATAGAAAAGGGGGAAGAATCAGGATTACGTCCCTAGTCCGGTACTTAAGACGGACGAGGGGAAATAGTAGGTGGAGGTAGGGCTGGGAGCTACGATGAGTGAGACCGCGCCCGGTGGCGGCAGTTGCAGCAGGCAAATGAAGTAAGAGTGCCAGTAGTACAAAAAAGAGTCAAGAAGCAGAAGATGACCCAGCGCGGCGGATGGTGACGTAGGCGTGACTAGCGATTGGGTGGAGAGCAAGCCGAGAAGACTGAATCTGGAGAAAAAGGCAGAAGAACGGAGAGACTGGGAACTGGAGAAGGGCGGATAGACAGCTGAGAGGAGAGTGTCTGCGAAGGTATGAGGTCACTGAGGGACCGGGTGTGGTTTATTGGGGTGGCGAGGGGGAGAAGAGAACAGAAGGGAGGAAATCAGTCCTGGTCCAGAGGATGCTGGAGGCCGGACGAGGGAGACTCTTTATCCAACTCGGTGGGACCTGGGATTCTTCCTTCTTGTCGGCCCTCGAATTTTTGATAATCAATTTTCTTATTTTTTTTTTTTTTTTTCACTATTAATTTTATTTTAATAGGAAATATTTATTTTTACTGCCATGCGTGGGTGTCCCTCCCATTTTTCCCTTTTTTCACCCAATTCCCACCCCGATAGGATTTGGGTCATGCATAGCTTGTTCCGGGGAATCCCCTGGGTCTAGGTGGTATTCCAACGGGGGGGCAGTCGAGTCCATTCGACCTAGATCGTTAGTACGGTACCAGTACCTGCTGCTATCGACGGGACTAGGCCGGGGAAAGAGGGAGGAATACCAACCCCAAACCATACAGGGCCCTTCCCTCTGCTGAATCCCCGTTCGTCCATGGCGGAGAAGTGGGGGCGTGGGGGAGAAAAAAAGAGGCCTGGCAAGCAAACCAGCGACCAGCAATGGGCAATCCCTTCTTCCCAGCGCCTTCCTCCCCCCTTCTGGTCGCTTTTTTTTTCTGATCAGACGACCTCTGCCCGTCGTCAGCATTGACACCCGCCCCTCCCTCCATGCCCCGTTGGTCTGTCGAGCACTCAAGGTTCCCCCTTACACGATGGCAACCATGCCCTCTGGGTGAATTTAGGAAGGTTTACCCCTGGTCACTCGCCATTCTTATCTTCTTAGCTTATTTGGTGGGCGTCCATCGGCGTTACGGATTACGGAGTACCTGGCAGATGTGGATGGCTTTCTGTGTCCATTGCACGGCTGTCAGAATATCATTGGATCCCTGAACCATCATCAGGGAGATCTGATTCTTCATCTTGTTCCCTTTTTTTTTTTTCTCTGAAAAAAGAGACCGCTCATGTCTCGCCAACTGTCACCCAGCGGACCGGGTAGACGCTCTCATCGGCAAGATATCCGACCCAGCAGGCCGAGCAGGCAGGTAGTAGTATTCCGGAGTTAGACAAGCGCTAAGAATAGTCGCTGGGCTCCCACATGACATCGACTGCGGACCCATAAAAATTCCATGGATTTCTGTTTCCAGGTCAATCCCTCCACCCGCATTAGCTAGCGTCTGTGCCTAGAACCGCCCGCGAACACGGAGCCATATGGAACATCAGGATTCGATTCGCTTCAAACAAGCAATTAAGGGCTGACGGGACTGCGAAGATTGCCGTTTGAAACATGGCAGATGGCCAGGATTCTCAAAGGTCCTGGTATTATTAATGTGATGGCCTCGCAGTACGGAGTACACAGGAATTGATTGCATCCACGATCCGAGTCTGATCTATCATCCCTGGCTCTGAAGGTGAAGGAACAGATAGGCGCAACGACCGAGACATTCCCACGCCAGATCTCAATGCATCGTCTATCGATACGTAGGCCTGCCCAACCGGCCAACTGGACGCTGATGCAGTGTATAAGTGCCTATATACCGCACAAGTCCTAAGCAGATCTACAGTCGGCATCCCTAGACCCCATTGACCTCCAGTTCATCCCCGGCCACCGTAGACCTGCCTGCCCCCTTGACAACAATCCCTGCCAAGATCCGACTCAACTACCAGAACGGCGGAGTCGGCGCTGAATGGATGCTGTCGAGGATTGAGGGCGAAACACGCAAAAGAGGGGCTCTGCGGGTGTCCCTCCGACTCCGCTATGGGATTCTGCGCTCTACTAGATTCCTGTCGATCGAGCACATGACAATGTCCATTTTTCGCCCGCTAGTCCGTTTTCACGCGCTGTTCGAGCAACCGGCGATCTAGACCCGGTCTTCTACCCCTGGCTCAATATTCTTTCTTTTTTCTTCTTGATCACTTGAACACGATTGAATAATTGTCCGTCTGTTTATTTTATTTTATTTCTCTGATCTTGCCAGATAGCCTTTACTGTGTGTCCAAGATCTTCAGTCGTGAGCACGGAGAACGCACATACATCCACGCAGTCAAGTGACCGCCTCCCATTGCTGGATGTGTTGTCGTTTCCTTCCATCGTGATCACTTTTACCTTTGCTTTTCTAGACCACCACCGCCCCTGACTGGCGACGTTCTAGCGTGTCGCTGTACCATTCTACATTAGGCAGAGAGGCCTGGGAGGCGAGCGCGTTCAGCGCTGTGATAGACGGAGAAATTCTGTCTGCCGGATAGTCGGTTCGGCTTGGCTGGGGAGTCTAGCAGCTGGCCTGGGGGCCACGGGATCAATTCTCCCGGCTATCGTCCTGGCGTTCCGGCGACTCCCCAATACTCTGGCTGCCCGCCGTGCCCGGACCAGTCCAGACGCGCCAGGATATAGTAGGATTAATTATTCAATATCAGGACCATCACGATCCCGATCCATCGATGAATTCAAATCGCTTCAGACTTCCTTTCCCTCCCATGGAATGAATTTCATGTGCCTTTACCTTCTATTTCTCCGTCCACATATCCGCCAATGACTGTGCTCTGTGTGTACCGGATCGATCGCCACGACCGACTTCGCGATATCCTCGGGTGGTGACGTCTTTGACCGGACTTGCCAGGTTCCTCCTTCTGACTAACAGCGACCTCACTAAACCCCACCCAACGACCACCACCCCCGAACAATCAAGCAACGCAACCCAGCCGCTCATCACAAAACTAGCCCAGTAGCCACGACATTGATCTGCCATCTATCCCTATTCAGGTATACGAACAACCCGCCCCAGGAACCGTTGTGGTCCCCAATTCAGCGGGCAAAGCTGATCAACTCCTAATGGACTATGTAATCAACTTGTTCTTCCCCAGTATGACCTCACAAGGATCCATGCCCCGCCAAGCAATCTCATCATCTCTGGTAATGATGCAAAGTGATAAGGGGGGCAACCATGGACGGGCACATCTTCTTCCCCCCCATCGACCACGGGCTCGTCTCGCCGGGCCGACACATCGACCCTACCTTCTTCTTACCTTGTATCTACCGCCCGCCGGACAAAGAACGCACTAGTTGCAGTCTAGATGGATAGATCCTAGGTTAAAGTGTGGTGCATGTGTGCCTAAGGTACAAGCCATGCCTATATCCATGAGTATTAATTATCCAATCCATCCCGAAACCTGTTTCATCCTGTCCGTCGTCATTCAATTAATACATATGGACCTTGTTCTTGATTATATCAGTATCATTATACAGTGTATACATAGCAAGTACTGAGTAAGTGCCTCGGAATCACAACCACAAGACACACAACATAGGACACCGTGGACACAACACCTCCAATCCTACTCCGTAGATAGCACATAAACTATCTACTAAGTACAATTACCCTGCAGAAACCACCCAACCCAACCCAACCAAGCCCACCTGCAGGAAATGCATACATAGTACATTGATTACCCACATGCCAATCCAATCCAGTCCGATCCCTCTCCTTATCTTACCTTACCTACTATGTACCCTGAAGCACCCACGATACCCGAATTCCCGACATTTCCATGCATTTCAAACCTTCTCGTCTTACTTTCCTATCCTGGACAGGATTTTATGTGGCGTTTCTGTTTGTCTGTGGCCGCCGCCCCCCTCCGCGGCCCCCCTTCCCCTCCGGTAGCTTTCTTTCTTTTCTTTCTTCAACTGTTCTGTGTGCCCGGGCAGTATCTATCCCTTGCTGCTGGGCTCCACTTTTGGTGCAATTCTATTTGCGTTTGTTTTGTTGTATGTATTAGTAGTTAGTACTGGGGGAGAGTGGTGTCATGTGATTCTGGTGTGTTATATATTTCCGGGGATTGGGGATTGGGGATTGGGGGAGTTTAATTGGGGATGGCTGGACTGGACTGGGCTGGATGGTTCTGGGTCGGTCGATCTTTAATGTCATTTGTGTGTATGTGCTAGTACCGAAGTGTAGAGTTAATACTTTTCGTACTCGTATCTGGCACAAATGAAAACCAGCGTCTGCTGGGATTGTTGATTTCGCAGGTAATCTACAGACATCTCAACCAATATACTCAAGTGATTCAACATGATGCTACTGTCACACCTTGCTGCCACGGACAGCCTGGGTGATCATCCCCTCTCCGATTGCCCTTGTTTTCCTCGGGCTGCACGTGCCGTTTCATGGAACGATCGTCCCTTACTCCGACTCCTCGAGCTCGGCACGGCGGCGCGCCTCAACCTCCTCCTTCTCCTTCTTCTGCAGGAAGATCAGAGCGTTGATCTTGTCCTTGATCGTGTGCTCAGTAGTCAGGGTACCCGCGATCTGCTCGCGGCCGACCAGGCTGGCAACAATGCTGGCTCCGACAATGAAGGTGAGGACGAAGCGGTACATGCCGTACCAGGCGGGGGCGCGGCCGTGGGCGGCAGCACGGGCGTCGTTGTAGTACAGGAAGGTGAAGGCAAGGAACTGGGAGATCAGGGCGTACTCAACGGGGAGCAGCAGGGTAGGCCAGGCGACAGCGGGCGCGACAACACCGGCAGCGTAGCGCTTGTAGCCGTACTTGCCACCGTATCCGGCCCACTCAAGACCCCAGTGGACGGCACCGAGGAAGGACAGGATCTATTCACGTCTCGTTAGATGGAGGGGTTGCAATTGGGAATCAAACATTCTACTTACAACAGCACCATAGCCGACCTGGATAGGCTCGATCATGTGCAGCATCAGCTCGGCACTCTGGCCGGAGAAGAGGAGACCATCACCGGCCACAGCAGCGGCCTTGATCTCCCAGGCAAGGTAGACGGTCTGGAGAGAAGTAGCAAGGTAGGGGATGACACCGGCCATTCCGAGGTAGAGAGCCTCCTTGGGGACGGCCTCCAGGCTGAAGGTGTCCTTGATAACTTTCTACAGATCACGAAAGATCGACATTAGCGAATTGTGTCCTAAGGAGACCGCGGAGGGCATTGGGCGCCCCGCGGAAAAACACGGAGGGATATATCAAACATACAGCTTCGGTCTTGATACCCGCCATCATGTCGACATCCTCGCCATCCTGTGGTCCTGATCAGCAATTGAATCGATCGCAGTACGCAATTCGCCCAGGCGAGCTCACCTTGGACGACGTGGACGCGTAGCGGACAAGAGCGGTGGTGACGGGCTTGCGGGCAGCCAGAGCGAGGCTGGGGGAAGTGGTCGGGCGAGCGGGATAACGAGCGGAAGAGGTCAAGGGAGCCTTGAAGACATTGTTGGACAGGGCCGAGCGGGCGACCGAGGCATTGGAGCTTGAGATGGCTCTGAGGACAGAGCGGGCAGCGGTGGTTCTGTACAACATTGTCGTCTAGACAGCTAATTTTTTTTCCCGATATCCGCGGTTAGCAGTGAAGACTGGAAAGCTCGGATGCAGTCAATTCGGAGGGTACACACCCAATTGAGCTGGTGGAAGAAGAGGGAAAAGGTGCAAGAGCGGAGATGAGGGTATTCACCCAGAAATTGGTCGAGATTGACTCGTGGGAGTGGAGATGGCAGGCCGGGGAAACAATCGATCCTGGAGACCACGAATGGATGAGGTGATTATGCTGAGGTGCGGTAACGTCGTCCTCGGGCACACCACAGGCGCCAACCCCGCAGGTGTCATATGTAATGCCTCAGGCATGACTGGCCCAACTCACCATGCGGCTGACTCAGCCACGAGGGCTGCAGCCCTAGACCACTAAGCCGGAACGGGGCGAGGGTCTCACAGCTCAGGCCATGCCATGGCAGAAGCACCGACGTCACTCAGGGCCTGGTCGCCCATTCTACGGCCTCTCCGTAGGCCGTTCCGCGTCACAGCGTTTACTTACGCAGCGCTTTCCCCCTATTACTATTATTATTATTCCTCGTCTTCGCGGACGATCATCGCCCTAGGGACTGTCATCTACCTATACCCAAGCCTATCCCTCTTCTCATTCACAATTGGGTCACTGGGCCACGCTTGATACCCGACCTCTATTCCCCTCCCTTCACGTTCCCGTCGACCTGACTCCCGCGGGAATACGTCAGCTAGCCTTCCACGTCCCTCTCTCGTTTTCTCCGCACTGGTCGGTATACTTACACTTTCCGGAGACCATATCTTGCACTAGCCGCCCGCAACCGTATCGCGTGCACACCGAGCCTGCCTTCTGCATGGCTCTGCTCCCTACAATCTGCGAGTGCAACTAAAGCTCGCGCATTATAGTAAGATCTCTCTTCCTTTGATCCTGTTACTGCCTCGGCTGCCCCTCCTTTCCCCGTCAACCGGCGTCCACAGCCTACTAACCTTGGTTGGAATTAAATTCAGGCCGACATCACCGACAATTTGTATTCAATAATTCCCTCGTCTCTTACGGACCTTACGCAGAAGCCCCCGGCCCGGGTTACGGCCGCACCTCGCAACCATGTTGGAGGGTTTGGTCGCCAACTTGCTCAACCGTTTCCTGGGGATGTACATCAAGAACTTCGATGGCAGACAACTCAACATCGGTATCTGGTCTGGTGATGTGAAGCTTCACAATTTGGAGCTGCGACGGGAGGCCCTCGACCAATTACATCTGCCCCTCAACGTTGTGGAAGGACATGTCGGAGAACTCACCCTGTCGATTCCTTGGTCGAACTTGCGAGGGAAACCGGTTAAGGTTGATATCGAAGATGTGTTCCTGCTCGCGGCTCCCAAGGAAGATCAGGACTACGACCCGGAGGAGGAAGACAGACGGGCGCATGCTCTAAAAATGGAAAAGATTGAAAGCGCGGAAATGCTCAAGGAACGAAACACAGAAGGCATGAGCCAGGAAGAGCAGCGTCGGAATCAAAGTTTCACCCAAAGCCTGGTAACGGCCGTTGTCGACAATCTTCAGATCTCCATCAAAAATGTGCACTTTCGCTACGAGGACTCGATTTCTTCGCCGGACCACCCCTTCGCCGTCGGTGTAACGCTGAAGGAGCTCAGCGCGGTCAGTACTGACTCCGAATGGAACCCTACCTTCATCCAGTCAAACTCTGGCACGACACATAAAATGGCAATTCTCGGTGCCCTCGCGATCTATTGGAATACCGACGCAGAACTTCTGGGTACAGGTCGTGGTTCAGACATAGGCGCAGAAGCCCAAGGAATTGGCCATGCGGAGTTGATCGACAAACTAAGGACTGGCATTGACAATGAAGAAAACGTCCAGTTCATGCTTCGTCCGGTTAGCGGACGTGCTGGCCTAGAGATGAACAAGTCGGGTGAGCATGATGTGGCGGCAATTAAGGCGAGACTTCTGTTTGATGAACTTAGTTTCGTCCTTGATGATCATCAATATCGGGATGCGCTGATGCTTGTCGACCTTTTCCACTACTTCATCCGCCATCAGGAATACAGAAAGTTCCAGCCGAAGTGCCGACCGAAGGAGGACCCCCGAGCCTGGCTGAGGTTCGCCGGAGACGCCGTTCTTAGCAAGATCCACGATCGGAATAGGCGTTGGACCTGGGATTATATCAAGGAACGACGTGACGATCGTATCGCTTACATTGACCTATTCAAGAAGAAAAAGCGTGAAGGAACTCTAACAGGTACCGACGATGAAAGATTCGAACGCCTGCAGAGGAAGCTCAACTACGAGGATATCCGCTTCTGGAGATCACTGGCGAGGAATCAATTGCGGAAAGAGAACGTCGGTGTTAAGAAGCCTGCGCAGCAGCAGAGCTGGTCAGAATGGTTCTGGGGCAGCAAGAAAGAGGAGTCCGAGGAGACCACCATGACTGAGGAACAGCGGCAGGAGCTTTACAATGCGATCGACTGGGATGAGAAGAAAGCAATTGCCGAGAGCGTTGATGTCCCAAGAGATTGGGTCAAGTTGCAAGTCAATGCCGGTCTTAGAGCTGGAAGTTTCACGTTGAAACGTGACCCCCACGGAAAAGCGAATGAGGCCATGAAGATGGTATTCGACAACTTCCGAGCAAAAGCTCTGCAGCGTCCTGACTCATTCTTCATTGACCTCAACCTCGGCGGCTTGCGAGTATACGATGGAACAACGGAAGGAAGCCTTTACCCACAGATCGTCAAGGTCAAGGATTCCTTGCCGGAACCGAAGAACCGTCTATCCCAGGTTTCTGACAACGATCTGGATGCTGAGGCTAGCGATGATGCCTCTGATTACTATGAAGATGGCCTGTTTCACTTGGAATTGGAGAAGAATCCGCTTGAAAGCGACGCTGACTCGGTCGTAAAGGTCAAGCTGAAGAGTATCGAAGTCATCTATAACCCCGCTTTCATTGTTGAGATTGTCAAGTTCTTCGAGCCACCGGAGAGACATATGGAGTCGATCGGCGCCCTCTTGGACACAGCAGGTGCAACCGTTGAGGGCATCCGACAGCAGACCCGAGCGGGCTTGGAGTTTGCGTTGCAGGAGCATAAGAAGGTTGACGCACAGTTTGATATCCATGCACCTCTGATCATTGTCCCCGAGAGTATCACGCAAGAGAGCTCTCTCTGTCTGATCCTCGATGCTGGTCATATCAGCGTCAATAGCGAACTCGTCGATCGGCAGACAATGAGAGACCTACAATCAAAGCAAAAGCGACAGTATGAGGAGGGTGACTATAAGGAACTCGAGCACCTCCTTTATGATAGGTTTTTGATCAAGCTTGACTCTACGCAAGTCCTCATTGGCCCCGGGATCGATACCACCAAGGCGCAGCTCACTACAGATGTCGAAACCCGGAACCTACACATCATCGATCGCATCAATGTGGATTTTGTGCTGGAGATGTGTATTGTGCCAAAGGTCACCGAGCTCACCAGAACTCGCATCTCCGGTCACCTTCCAGAATTGCATGCCTCTATGTCCGATACTAAGTACAAGGGTCTCATGAAACTGATCGATATTGCAATTCCC